AGTGAATATATGACATCAGTGGACACTGTAAAATGGGCTGATTTTTCACTGTAAAACAAATCCTAGAGACCATTACAGGTCAGGTGAACTATTCTCATTAGTGAACTAACCAAACGGAAACACGAAGCAAGCCTTTATCTGAGATCCTCAGGGAAAAAGTAAAAAAGAGAAACCACGAGACGCACGGCGTCGGAACTTGCTGGCATGCACCATAAGTCTTGGCAGGAGGGCTTAGAACGACTGAATTCGATGTTTTAAGAGTTAGCCAAAAAATCATAATGTCATAACATCACAGCTCAAATACCTATTTATTTTCCCATTTTGTGTAAGCAACACATTTCCTGTTATCCTATATTTAATGTTGGAAAAGTTTCGGTTTCGAAAATGAGGACATTGCCCCCCAACTGCTCATTTCCATCATCTGAACAAAGATATACTGCGACAACTTCCCGCATGTATAGATAAAGCGAGGGGTATCTACTGGCAACAATAGCGCATGATGGAATTAGTTCGAAATTCCCTGTCAGTAGCTTATGCCTCAGGAAGAATAACAGATTACAGTGAATACTAAACTTATACAACACTTTTTTACCAGGTAGGAGTCGGTGTTGTGATTTAACAAAAACATTGTCCTAGAGATGGTTCGTTTATAATTCTACTCAGTATTATGTAAAAGACTAATGTTCTCCATTATTTTAAAACTCGAGTAATGTAGAATGCTATAAACACTTACATATTTTTGATGGCTGTCTAACATTGATCGGTTCATGGTCTTAATCATGATAGTATCCGCCTCAAAGCAATCCAAAGCTTTTGTATAATTAGGGATTCGTCATACCTGTAATAACGTCCCAGTTTTAGACGCAGACATTATCAATTCAAGAGGTCGATAATAAACCAACATAATCATATGATATTCTCACTTTCGACTCTTCTGATGGATTCTGTGCGTTAGCATTTGGAACCGTATAAATTAACACCATCCGTTGAATACTCATGCCTCGTGCGTCCGAAAGCCTACTAGAAGTATTCGCCGAAAGCATTTAACACCCACACTTCAAAGTGAACGATTTTTCAGCACAATCGTAAGTCATAATTTACTGACGGATACAAGTTAACTTTTAGGCCGGTAAGCTAAATTACAAACCACAAGACGTCAATATGATCCTAAAAAACATGACGCTTATATGTTTTAGGTAGAAATACTGTACAAAAGCAAATATTCTTGTTAGTTGAAAAACTAGATTCATACTTTCGAATTATCCAGTCTGACAAATCCAAAACCCACTCAATTTCTTTTAGGATAGAAACTTGTCACAGGTCTTGGTATTTGTACAAACTAATGATTCCTTTGAACTTGACTACCCGCTGATTACGAATACGAAATATTATGATCATCTAGTTCTACTTGCTGTAAAGCACATTATTTCGGGTATTTCTAGTTAGTACATTAATTCGAATATTTCTAACTATTAAATTGACATGGCGATGGAGCCTGAGATTGAACAGCTGGATATACATTCAGATTGTGAAGCTTTCGAGGATTGCATGCAAAGGTTTGAAATCTGCAGTATGAACAGGAAAGAAGTTAAGGGTATTTAAATTATCTCACATTTCTCCACGTTCATTAGAGAGGATGCCTACAGTTTATTAAAAGAAATCGGCATTTCCAGATAAACCTGTTTCACTTCCTTATGCAACTCTCAGGGAATCACTATTAAACCACGCAAAGTGTACTAATTTTGAATGTCGTGAAGGAACCAAATTTCGTAAGATAGTTCGTCAGAATAACCGGAAGGGTAAAGAATTTATTATTGAATTTCAAAAACAAGCTGCCAAATGCAATTTTGGTGATCAACTTCATATGCAGTAGTGTGATCAAATGATTGCATAAATTAACATACCAGATCTAGAAAGAGAGCCTATGTAAATGTCGGAGTGTTCCTTCCAACGTCCATGAAACCGACTCACAGAACATCATGAATCTTCCTACACCAATCAGTTATCCCAATCCAGTGCGTACTCAAGGTCATGCAGATAACAATTCATTGACGAATTGCATAGTACGTTACGGTGGTGATCATAGGTTTGGTAAAGGCTTATCTCATGATACATTTCCCTCAAATGATTCGTGTGTATTTCGATATGCAAAATGGCACACATCCAACCGGTCTGTAGGGTTACTGTTTGCTTTGCCACTAATGATGATAAACATCTCAGTTCGGATTTTATCTTTATCCACGATTTCGGAAGGAGATGTCCATATTCAGCAGCAATCACATACCTCATTCGCTTTATTCCATAGCTTCATCGTTGACACTTACAGTATAGAGTGGTAGCTTAATCTAGAATTATGAGAAGACTTGTTAACCTTGTATTGCTCTGAAACCGAACTTCAGACAAAACAAACTAATATTTCATGCGATATTTGTCAGGAAAGTTGAAGACTCATATTTAGGAAATAAGTGGAGCAACATAATGGAGACGACTGTATCAATTGAAACTTAGAATCCTCGTGAGACAAAAGCTTCTAATGAATCAACGTCTTCTAAGATTTCTGATGTTATTTTTCCCAGGTATGAGTTGTCCTAATGATTCACATATTTTTGATGGAAATCCTTGTAATAATGAGTTGAATGAATTAAGACCGGATGCAAATTTGATAGATGCTGATTTTCCTAATGATTCATTATTCTCTAATACTATTTCTAATAAATTTGAGGAAGATATACCAAAACAATCAAATCCTGATGATGTCACATCAAGTATCATTTGTTCTCATTATGTATTTGTTTCTGGTCGAAAACATGGTCATTTTGAAGCTGTGCTATGGCAACATAATTAATAAGTAGATCTGAACTATTTAATGTATCACTTATCTGCACAATGACAATTACATTCAATTGTTCTAATCAGTTATCTTGTCGGAATATGATGAACAATTGACTGGAACAGCAAAATAACAAACATTCACCGATCAGAGGCGATAAATTTTTCCTGACACCTCAGACCCACCTGCGAATATACACAATCTTATCCTAACACACTACAGTAAATACTTTAGACGTTATTAAGGTGGTTTGATAACCTAATTGGTACACTGTTAACCGAGCGAGCTTGCACCTATTTATATTCGATAATTTTGATTATATTCCCGTAAAAAAGCTTGAACCAGATCGCCGAGCAAAACGTTGGATTCACTTCATATTCAATCGTTGAGATTTTACAGATATATACTTCTTCCTTAATGTCTTACATTAACTCGGCATCCAAGTATTGTAAAACTATTCGTTCAAATTAGGTCGAAAGTGCTAATATACCTTCTAACTAACACAAGTGTTTTTGTGAACGATCAACTTATTTTACTGACGTTTAACGCGCCTAACTCTATCATAAAACTAAGTTGAAATGGATACTGTCAACCGTTTTTTTGAAGCATCGTAGAAAAAGCCAAGTTCTAGTGAGATCTTGAAGTCTCATTTAATACACTGAATCTCATAATTTCACCTGAACGAGTTGACTTTAAAACATACTTTAGTTTAAACGTCAGGCTTGACTTATTTAACATTGAGATTTAATCGTACGGTTTTTTTACTATGTATTATAATCCGTTATTATACTATTTATGTTTAAAATGTGAGCAGTAATACTTACCACGTTTTTTTTGTTGACAAATAACGACATTTACTTCTGGCATGTATCTACGTCTTGAGACCCGATATAGGAAGTGGTGATTAACTAACAAATTCCAGTGTTATGCAACCTTCTTTCGAAATACAGGTATAAATTAGTGAATGAACTAAAGATTAGATAACAAAACTAATTATAAGCAAAGATGGATAGTGGCTAGCAGTGGAATCCAGGACGCGTGTTTCGTCATATTCGGGACTCGTCAGCTGGATGTATCTGCATCTCAGAGTTGATGTTCATTCTGGGACTCGAACCCAGTACCGTTCGCTTCAAACACCATCGTGTTATCCACATAGTTCTTCAGTCCTGATAGCGGACGGTACTGGGTTCGAGTAACTCCCGGAGTGAGCATCAACTGTAGGATGCAGGTACATTCAGCTGACGAGTCCCAAATAGGACGAAATGTGCATCAAACCAGATTCCACTGCTAACCACTATTTATCTTTGCTTATAAAGCTTCTGAATTAAGGCAATATGTAGGAAGTATGCACATATGCCAATAGGAGTATGATCATTTGCAGTCCTAAACATTAATGGGATGATTCAAGTAAAACAATACCAAGTGAATTAAAACTAATTATAGTTATTACCACATGCGTCACCGACCTCAAGCATCTGTTTCTTGGGCACTGAGGTCACGCTCTCAGATCACTACGACCACCTCTAATCCAATTTCTTTTTTAGGTACCTCCAAAAGAACTCTTTCACGGTGTGGGCAACCGGGAAATGATAACCACCCTCATACATTTAACAGCACTCAAGATAGTTATTATCAGGTACATATATTTAAATTTCACTAAAAACTGGCAGACACTTTTACACTAAAGCATCAGCATTACTATCTTAGGTTGTCCACCATGTCGTGAATTATCTTTTCCAACTCTTTCTAAATCTAATCTCTAATGTATAAATGACATAAGAAAACATATTTCAAGCACCGAAAAAGAAGAAAAAAAAGAAAGATTTATTTTTTTAATTCACAAATACATAATTAAGAATCATCGTTAATTGTATTTGTGCGATGAACATGATTACTTCTTCTTCTACTTATGAAAGTGACAAACAGACAGACAGACAGACGAACAATAACATTATCAATCGAATAGATGTATTTCGACTAAACATCATGTAAATGGAAGTTATCTTCTGCATACAAATGGTCTTCCAGAAAAAAAAACGCAAACAAGAGATATACACCGTTTATTGTTTATATGAATTATATATAATTCACTTATACAATAAATTTGAACAAATAGAAGTGATTTATTATTGAATGAATAAATGAGTGAATGAGAATATACTTTATTTGATTAATACTTTCTATCATCAGAGAATCCACTATAAGTAAAAAAAAAAAGAAAAAAAAAGAAAAAGAAAAAAGAATCATAAACAAAATAGTGGGAATATGAATACACTTCTAAATGAAAGTGTTAACGTAACATATAGATTGGATAAAAGTATACTTGTTCAAGGTATGATTGTATTGGTGGTGTATGCTGATTGGTTAAGAATTAGCCAATCAGCTCTAGGTGATACTTGAAGAATACTCTAGAAATCTTCTCATGTATAAAAACTATAAATATACTAGCGTTTTTCCCATTGTGCTTTTGTTTACTTCCATCTAATCTTGTTATTTAGAATAATAATCTCTAGTTCAGTTCAACTGTGTTCTGATTAGGAGACTTGTCGAGTGAATTGATCTCCGAGAATACTAAGCAATAGGAATAAACTGGCTTGTAATAAGAGAGGATTATAACAGACGAGTAACTGTGTTCATTAGTATGAGTCTTGTTAAAGAAGAGATAATAAATGTTAATACACGATAAAACTATTACACAAAACTGATGATGGCTTTTGAGAGGATCGTTTTGGTTGTGGTTAATTTTGTTTATAAATTTAAATAAGTTTGTGTGGGACTCTTGACCAATCGGAAGCTATCTGAGTTGCGATTACCATAACACAAGTTTTTTTTTATGAGGGCTGGTACATCGATATAGACTGAGAAACATTAAAGTAGAATGGGTTTAATGTGCAGAAGGTCGTCCCATCCTACATTATGACAGTGAAACATGGCCGGTAAGAGTAGAGGATATTCGTAGGTTACTAGTATTTGATCATAGGTGTCTTCGAAGCATTACTCGTATATTCTCGGACCATCCAGTAAGTAATGAAGTTATTAGGAAACGGATACTAGGTAAGGATGGCAAATCAATTAATGAAGTAGTGAAACTTCATCAGTTGAGATGGCTGGGATACGTGTTATATATGCAGGAGCCAATCACCGACTCCCTTGACGTACGATGTTTTAATGGTGTAGTAATAGGTTGGACCAAAACATGGCACAAATCCATGAAGTCAGTGACAAGTGGACTGAGACATGTTGGAAGATGTAGATTACCTGTTCAGGATCCACGAGATGATAGCAACCGATGGTTAGAGACCTTGAATCACATGGCTCAAAATCACTTGTAATGGCGCAGGTGGATCCACTCTGTGTTCTCCCAAATTATAACCTTCTGAATTCTTCATGTTCCTTTCTTTTTTCTCTTTCTAAATTTATTTCACTGCATTATACTCCTTGAATAATAATATCGTCAAACCTTAATCTATCCTATTACTGCTTATACTTTTACTACCTCTACCACTATGGGATTTGAATCGATAACTGAATCTCTGTGCTAATGTGGCGTGACAACTCGAACTGATGTACGTACGTATGAAGTTCCACATTGGTACTGACTAACTGAAAGTAGAATGGAAGAGCTTGCTGGTCTTCAACTAGTTGATCAGTTGAACGAATTCTGAGTTCAAAACTGTTATGAACATTTTTGCCCGGATCGATCATCTAGATTTTAGGATGAAATATTTATAATTAGCCATGTCAATCATTCCAAATCGATCTCAATGACAAGCCAACATTGAGTAGGCAAAACTAAATACCCATTAACACATAGATAAAGTAGGACATTACCATCTCAAGTTGGGTGAAGAAAAATGATTATACAAACCGATTTGTTTAAAACAACAACAACATACCTAGAAAGTCGTGAAGGGAATCCTGAGCTACCAAAAGGTCGTTTCCTTTAGAGTAATGAAAAAAAAATTATGAAATTCATTTGGGAATCTTTTAAATTAACAACAATAACTGGATAGTTGAATGAGATGATCATCAAACTATGTGATACATATTATGCACCATGCGATTACAAATTACTTGTTAAGATTCGTCCCACAATCATTTATATGTACCTCTTTAAAATGTTCAGTGAAAAGTACAACATCAAAAATGAGAATCCCGTTCTCTAAGAGTTGTTCTCAATAATTTACAAAACTGTAGACAAAATATAGCTGAACAATTTAATTGCTAAATATGTGCATAAAAAAAACTCGTTACAAAATAGGGTACCAAGATGGATGTCTCACACTCACACACACTCAAAGAAAATAGAAGTGCAAGGACTGTAAGGAACAGTAAAAACTGAAGTAAGAAGTATTATCTTCTCAGCTCAACAAGGGTCAAAGTATGAAACTGAATGGATTTCCTAGCAAAATTATCGTCGCTGAAGATGTTAAGCAAATTAGTGACTCACAAAACACATTACTAATAGCCCATTTGATATACAACATCTCATATGTTTATTTTATATTAAGGTATTTTATTCTTACAAGACAAAGACGTACTATGGTGATTGTTTTTCAGCACAATTTAGATCAGTAACTATGTCTCGTGATGAGTTATCACTCCACTACATCGTTTAGGTGTACATTATCACAGTAACCAATCAGTCAGTTTACTAGCATACACCACAGCCTGACTGAGTTTAACCAACAGATTGCAGATCTGACCATTATACTATTTAGTAAAGGTTTGGAAACCAATTAGTAGTAGTATGTATTTGAACATCACTTAAAAAGTACCTTGTGAATGAATTACATTATCATCATATCTTTTAGATCATACACGAAGGTACAAACAATATCAACTCTTATGTCATCGGGCGATGTTTGCTAGTGTAGGAGCAAGCTGGAAGAAAGCTAGAGGTAGCCACATCAAAAACGTAGCATCAATACATGAACCCAATAATCACTGAAATTGAACCATGTAAGTAGGTTCAGGCTGCCTGGATGACTTCTGTGGAATAACTGTGATCAACAGATGAAGATTTTGTACAGCACAGTTTCAAGTCAGTTTACGTTTTCACACCTTTTCAATCATGAATTAGAGTATCTTTTCAATCCCATCCCTTTGAACCATATTCACAATATTGATTGCTACTACATTATTCTGATCTTGCATAACTCCTCATGCTACATTCATCTCGTCCTAATATGGCATAGTAAGTTGAACCAATGCACATATTCACCAGGAATTATGCTGATTATGACTAATTGTTGCTATACAAACCAACGATGATCATTGATCAATTATATACCGATACGAAAAAATGTAGTGTTCTACAAATCAAAACACTTGGATAAAATTTATGACATGTATAAAATCGGTAGTGGAACTGATGATATCGAAACTATGGAGATTCGCAAGTACAAAAACATCTTTTATCTTAATATATCCAAAAAATACTTTGATCTATCTAAGGTCACTTCACGAAATGTAAAGTTATTTTTTACTTTCGTCCCACAATAGGACAAAACGGCCATCCAGTGCTTCCAGGTTTTCAATAGTGGTCTGACATCAATCGGTTCATGATCTCAATCAAAACTTAACAATCTCCACAACCCCTATACAGATAACAAACTGGCATATGTTATATCCCAATGAGAATAATGAGTGTTAATTTTTGGGATCCATTTGTGGACCGATAATGTGCGTATATTTTTATCGTATAATTGTTAAATAACTGAACTATTCATATTCATGCTCCCCTTATTATAAGCTTCATTTTGACTTAGACTATTATTATACGATTTACCAGTCTATCAATTACTATCTCCCACAATCACAGCCACATTTGGCTAAATCTTGTACAAATGTTGTTTCCTATTTTATGGTACGATGTGGTCTGTTTGGTTGGAATATAAACCCCGTATGTTTGAAATAAATGATTCATATCGCAGAGGATGAGATTGATGTTCTGAATTTAACAGGCTGGGATAGGTAGGAAGCGGGACCGGTAAAGACTGTAGACTGCTCGTACTTGCGTTATGCATGATTGGTCCGGTCGATAAATTACTGTACTCTAATTGATGGTATCATTACGTTATATATTGATAGGGGCACCAAACCATAACAACATGATTAAACGAACAAAATCAACATAAAACTTACACATTACCACCTCTCATTTCCTCAAAAACTTGTGATTTGCCCGTTGTGGCATTCGGACCTCTAGACAATAAACAAAAATAGGTTAAGGCAAAAAAAATCATGAGAACAATTCAAATCAAATAAGGGACAAGAAGAATGACTCAGTGCTTTAAGCATTTAATGAGGTGTCACGCTGATTCAAACGCCTCTGTTTATCTCGGTTTAGCAAGTTGTATAGCATCACAAGCCTTTATACAGAGTAGCTTGGAAAGCGAACTATATGGACCTGGTTATCCGGGGTGAATCCGTAATCTAATAATTCAAGGTATCTATCTTTATTTATATTGCTCAAGACAATCAGATATTATTGCTATCACTTACAGGCAAAGCGCAACTGTCTTAAAATGAGTACAGAAACCCAGACACGGTTACAGAGTTACAGTACTGAATCGACCAGTTAACCTATCAACTTGTTACCATAATGATGTAAAGTATTTACTTTTCATTCGAATTTCGTCATAATTATGTTAACGAAACAAGGCCTTCAGAATAATCAATAAATTTTTGTAATTCACTATAGTAATTTGACCGTAGAAAGTGAATAGCTACTCAAAAAAACCCACTTTAAACGAACTTACTCTCTACGCCATGGTGTTGAGCTACCACTGTCCATATCCATATTTTTAGATCTAGGAGAATAAGTGGAAAATAAAATAAAACAAAGGAAATTTAATCAAGATCTATGAAAGTTATAACATAAATTAAAACTGACATGTACTAGTAAATTGATCTAAATTTTTGTTCAGAATATCTATCATATACGAACTAATGTTTCAGTGAATTATTAATAGAACCGTGAATAATGTTATACTGCACAGTATCTGATTCTGGTGCATTGACCTTCTACCTAAACACGAGTCCGATCAGCTACTTCAGTGAAAAATACAAGATTAGGGAACTTTTATTTTCCAAATGAAATAAGAAATATGTGTACATTTATTGGTATGTACATCTTCATCCCCGATAAGGTAAAGCTGAAATTCAAACCAATAGGATGTGTTTGATCACTTAAAAATAAAGCCGAACCCCGGCCAACAGCATGCCTATACCATCTGAGGTACATCTGACTGGTCTAGATGGTACTGTTTGATGAAAAGATACACGTGGTACATGTGTTAAAATGATTCAAATCAGTGTCAGTATAGCTAATTATAAACCAAGTAACCCAACGTCTTTATCACTGATCATGGTACCAATACGACTGAATTTAACAGCCTATGACTTCATAATTTGATGTTTGAGCACTTTAAGTCTTCCATTCCAACTCATTTTTACTTCAGCCAACAATATGTGTTTAGATCATGATTGGATATGTTTAGCACATATCAATGTCAATTCAGACGATAAAAATTGCCCCCAAATGCCCTGGTACGGCCGAGAGTGGGGAGAGTCCGCTCTCCCTCTCCAAATGCTCTTACATGGCCGCGCGTATATAGCCTCTGCCAGGAAAGTCCTACTCACTGCCTTCTCGCACCATGGGTGTTGTTTACGAAAATGAGAGGACGAAAACCCAATGTCCGGAGCTTTACCCGGATCCCATACCAATGGTGCACATGGGCTCCAGTATCCTGAAGGAACAAATGGCGTATGAACCAATTGTTGGTCACCGGCTACCATGGGACTGCATCTCCTCACGATGCTCCACTGCCTTGTGGGTCAGACATTCAGGTCGAAGGCTCGGGGTGTGGCTGCCTAAGAAAACCACCTGTTTCGGTTTGGGCACTCGAGCAGTATCACAGCCCTCACACATATCAATTGAAATTTGTGTGGCGCATATGTATTTGCTGCCTCCTTGTACCAATACCTATGTGTTAAAATAAATAAGAATTGAAAGGTGTATAGTCACTATCCAATAATCTATATCTCACTTCAGCATTACTCAGTGATTTCACTATATGCAAAGCGATGCATTGAAGACACCTGTAAACAAACACTTGAAACTCAAATATGTTTTACTCCAACATAAATTCTACATGTTGAATTATTATTTTTGTTAACAGTAGCTGATACCTTGAAGTGTTTTCTTTATCGTCGCTTATCGGGAAAGCACAAATAAGCCGTATTAATTGGAGCATTGTTGGACAATATTGACTGAATTTATACTTTACTAAATTAGCACATCAGAAAAATTGCACAAGTTGAAATCATGAGTCAACTGAAGCTAGACTACCATGAAAAACCTTGAAGCACTGGATGACCGTTTCGTTCTAGTATGGGATTCCCCTTTAAAATCTTCACAAAACACCTCCTGAAAATTATAAGCTTAAAACAATCTATAATATTTGACAAGTCAATTTGATATATCCTTATCATTATTGTTGAAAGTGAATGACACAATCAATTAGAACTTATATAATAACTGATTAAATATAAAGAAAAACACAAATAACCAATCAGTCAGGATATGTATCTCTTACCCTCCTCTATTGAATCCACCACCCATTGTACTACCACCTCTACCAAATGGTCTTGTTCGTTCATTTTCTATAATTATTTAAGAAAAGAAATACATTAATTGCTGATATAAATCGATGAGAATGTATATAGTATACATGGCTCATAATACCAAAAAGAAGAAATATACATATGTTGAAGAAGTTAACAACAATGATTTGTCATATAGTGGGTCTGTGAAACGACATCATCAAATAAGACAAATGAATTATTACATAATAATCGTTTCGAAAATATATGAAATACAAACATAAGATTGGGGCGGTATATCAAGACAATGAAATTAGTAGCTTATATTTCAATATACACAAGACAAAGAATAGGTAACAAATAATAAAGTTACTTAGAAACTAGGTTTGTAAGATTACGTAATCAATGAAAATAGCTCAAAATAATTGGGGCATATAAGGACTCTAATTAACTATTTTGTTGAGATTACAAACTGATTTTAACTAGACCGTCATTGGAAACGTAGAAGCATGAGTATAGGACTTCACAGCAGTACATATTCATGGTTTCTCAACCAAAAAACAAACCCAGGACCCTTAGTCTGGCACATGAGTACCTAACCTATAGACAGCTGAGCCGAGCATTTGATGGTATACAAATATAGCTTTAATCGATAAATGATACTGTCTGACCGTCTTTCATTATCTTTAGTGGGTATCTTCCTCACACTCGACAAGATTTAGCTTCAGTGGTCACAGCTTCGTATTAGAACCTCGGAAATTTCCCGTCGAAGTAATTCACAAGAGAGTACATGATAATTGTCAGTATGGGGTTGAGGATACTGTTGAATTTCATTGAAACCATAAATTAAAGTTAGGCAACCGTAGGAAACCGGGATATGAGGAACGCACCCAGAGAGGACAATAAAATGTAGTCAAGCATTATCATGGAGCGATTCAAGTTAGACTTGTACACGATTAGATGCCGAGTAGTTTAGAGGTTAGGTAATTAGGGATGACGCCGAGCGTCCTGGGTCCTGCTCCCGTTTGCGGGGTCATGTATACACACTACTGGGGAGCCCTAGTCTAGCAAGAAACGGGTGTTTACGTTTTCACTGGTTGTCTAAGATCAGTTCGTGATTTTAATAAAATTCGACAGTCTCCACAACCCCATCCCTAAAACTATTTTATTATTAGTAGATAGAGAATGGAATCAAGGTCCATACAATGCTACAATTAAAAACAGACTGTTTCAACCAATAAGTAATACAACAGTGATTGGTTGGCTAAAATAGCTTTCTACAGTAAGAAAATATTGGAAAATTTGACGAATCAGCACTACTCAACAGATCAAACCTAATTGAGCGTGTCTAAAATCTATATGATATTAAATGATATGAGTTGATAAAGATAAATGAGACAAAGTAGCATGTAAGTACGTGAAAATTGGTCACTAGATTATAGCTAATGGATAAAGAAATATAAGGTGACAGTAAACTAAATGCTGATTTAGAATCATTAAAAATTAAGATATATACAGATCGATTAACTGAAACACCACATTATAATTTCACAATCAAAGATCAGTACAAATTTTGAATGATATAGGTGTACAGATGATGGACAATGACATTTAAAGTGAATTCGTATGTTTCCTTTTCGAGTAATTTGGAATACTTCGTTAATAGAAAATTAAAAAATAAAACAAAAATATGATTCAAGTTTTAAAATACATGTTGATTGTGTTAAGCAGTGAAATTTGGGATGTGTGTTATGTCACCCTCCTGTTGAGGTTCATACCAAGACTTGAATCCAGTACCCCTATCACTTTATTAAACGTCAAAGTTATGTTTACTAAGGAACGTCTAATATTTTTTTACATAATTTCCTTTAACAAATGTTCGAACAAATACCAGTTATTCATCACATTGCTACAAATAAAACTACCTATCCAATTAGAAAAGAACGTTTGTTTAGAAACACTACATTCGGTGTGAACAATCCGAAGAAATTACGATTAATAAATAACACAGGAGAGAGTCTTTAATGGTAAACAAGTGACAACCGATTGGTCCTGTCGTGCGGCTCTTTATTTAAGCAAGTAAAATAGCACATTGATGGAATTGAAGGTTGAATGGTGACGATGGTAATCATAACAATATCCGTGTTTGAGCTGAAATATTGACGAAATAGAAGCCAGTAATTTTTTTTAAGGGGCCATATAACCTAGAGGACAAATCTACAAGAGAATGAAGCAACGTCAGGTGATATAGTTTCATGGTGGCCCGTGACAAAAACAGGTTCGTATAATAATTGTTTGTTTAGGATCCTAGAGACCATAAAAGGTATTGGTTTGGAATTAAGGTTTTTCAACCATAGCTATCTTTATTCACCGATTTGATTTAAGCTTCACAAATCAGCTTTTCTACCTTTCATTTTCATGAAAATACTTCAAAGAGGATTTCCGTACTAGACGTTGTAGACATTCGGTCGTATGACGGCATTTAGAGAATAAGTTTCCAAAAGCAACAAAAAACTTACCTCTACGTGATCCAACCTGAGTCCAACCACCAGCGTTACCAGAGTCATCTTCATATAGAAGCGAATCAAATTCAGAAGGAACAGCTAAAAAAGCGAAAATTTCAGTAGTGGATGGTAACAACATATATTTCACAGATACCTAACAACCTGACGATCATGAAGCGATAGATTTTGACATAGAACAATGTTCTAACTTACTTCTTCGTGGTCCACTTCGACTCCAAGTATCTTTGGAAGGATCACTACGGAGAGTTGGTGTATTATCGAAACCAACTATATATGTATACGTAAATAAAACGAAAAAAGTTTTTTAAAAAAGGAATTCTTCGCACATAATTAAAATGTTTATTTTTATTAGGAAAAAAATATTATCTGATTTACCTCGTTTACTTCCCGATAATCGACCAAAATCTGAGTATCTCGATGTGTCATCACGTCGAAAGTCTAAAGTGAGATTAAAAACGATAGTTTGTAAATTTGTCTTAGCTTCAGAATAAAGAGGTGTTGTATATTCTACAAGCACCAGGAAGCACAAACGAACAAACAAACAACTCATGTGTATACATACAGTACAAAAATTACTTTGGAAACGTTACAAAATAACGTAATAAAAGTGGAAACGAACTAATGACATTTATGATCCTTCCAATTGGGAAATAAAAACCAAAAATTGAAAATGGGTGGTTTTGGTCAAAAATGAAATTACAAGAATGAGACATTTACCATGTGATTATTGGGGATCTAGCATCCTCAAACAAACCATACTAACAGTTTTTAGTTATTCTAAACATCATGAATTATACTACTATTATTTTAACAGTTTTGAATTGTACATCATGTTACTTATTTTTATTTCACTGTGTCAATACGTATTTGTATGAAATGTTGAGTTGGTTATATCATCAATTACTACAATCTCCACAAAACCTCTTCAGATACTAATCAACATATGCTCACTAGTGATTGACTTCAAGAGGTATATCCTGAAGTTCTAGTGAGAAACAGTGACCAAGGGAGTTCAACCGGATCAGTTGTGATAGTAACTCACTGATGATAATGGTGGATGTGTCGCTCAATTTTGTGGATCAGTTGAAGTTAGACATTAACACCGCTAGATGCCGGCTCAGCGGTCTACTGGTTAAGTGCTCGTGCGTAAAACCAATAGGTCGTGGGTTCGAATCCCGCGAGGCGGGGTCGTGTATGCGCATTGCCCCCAAATGCCCTGGTACGGCCGAGAGTGGGGGGAGTCCGCTCTCCCTCTCCAAATGCTCTCACATGGTCACGCGTATATAGCCTCTACCAGGAAAGTCCTATTCACTGCCTTTTCACACCACGGGTGTTGCTTACGAAAATGAGAGGACGAAAACCCTATGTCCGGCGCTTTAACCGGATCCCAAACCAATGGTGCACATGGGCTGGCTCCAGTATCCTGAAGGAACAAATGGCGTATGAATTAATCGTTGGTCACCGACTTCCATGGGACTGCATCTCTTTACGATGCTCCACTGTCTTGTGGGTCAGACAATCAAGTCGAAGGCTCGGGGTGTGGCTGCCTAAGAAAACCACCTGTTTCGGTTTGGGCACCCGGCCAGTATCACAGCCCACACATATATCCAATGAGATTTGTGTGGCTCCTATGTATTTGGTGCCTCCTTGTGCCGATATCTGTGTTAAAATAAATAAATAATAATTGCTGAGAAGTCCCACAATAGGACGGAACGGTTGTCCAATGCTTTCAGGTTTTTCATGGTGGTCTAGCTTCAATTGACTCATGAGCTCAACGATTGAAATTACTACAATCTCCACACATCGTTCATGGATGTTAAAATGACATAAAACCCTGGTGACGATACTTTTTATATAGTTCAGACAAATTTCATTGATTTACAATTCTGTCGAAGGAATATGGAATCTTTAAATATAATTTATGAGAAAAGAAATCACAATTAATTTAAGTCAAAAATGTAAGGTCACATTTTCGTTGCATTACATTCTCACTATGATTTGTATTTAATGACAATTACACCGCTCATAAATCTTAATAGTTACAACTGACTAACTAAAAATGCATGTTTACGTTTATTGAAGTTATCACCAGTAACGTTCCACTACAATACTGAACTGTCCTCTCTCTTTCCCCCTATAGTTAATGAAGGCGAGGGGGTAAGTAGGAAACAAAAAGGCAGAAATAATTTTGCTTGTTGTAAATAAGTTTGATTTGAACGAATACATTAAATTCTCATAATCCAATAAACTGAAAATAAAACTTACCACGAAATGCATTACCAGAAGTATTTTCAGATTGACGATGTCGAGCAAAAGGATTAACTGATACAGGTTCATCTGAATATTGTTTTTTTTTTTAAAAAAATTATTTTTCAAACAAAAAAAAGAAGTTATGAATTAGTCAGTGAATGAATATTGAAAAGGAAGAAGAAAAAAAAACCCAACAGTTATAACTTCACATACATGTATTGATATCAGCTTCAGATTTTTCAATAGATAATTGTTCACTTGTCATAGTAACTAAATTTTGGGCAAGAAGTTTGAAAGATGCATGTTTTATGTACATATATGAACGGTAAAAATAGATAGAATAACAATTGACTGTTTATTGTTTTTAGAAAGGGTTCTGATTTAATGAAGATATATATGTATCTACAACGTAGGACTAAGTTGCCATACCTCATTAGCCATATACCTATGAACTATCTGGACGCGATCCGTGCCAATCAGTGATTGGAGATGGGTAAGATAGTTCGGAATCAGTCACAATAGTCTATGCGCATTCACCACTTCTCTTTCCAAACTTACTCTTGTAAGCATAGGTCGTCCACTAGTATTCTTTTTCCTTAGAATTTATAAACTTTATTTAACTAGACCAATTTTTTCTATGCATAATTTTTTTAATACTAATACTTGCACTACATTGATAATTTTCTTGATTTTATCTCTGTGCTGATATAGTGTAGCATCTTGAACTGATCCACATATGCTTCACCTCATATATTGATGATATTTCATTCATTCATTTGAACACATAAATATTGGTACAAGGGGGCAACAAATATATATGCACCACACAAAATTTTATTTGTGTGTGGGCTGTGAAACTGCCTGGGTGCCCAGACCGAAGCACGTGGTTTTCTTAGGGGACCACACCCTGAGCCTTTGACCCAAAGGTCTGATCCACAAGACAGTGGAGCATCGTAAGGAGATGTAGTCCCATGGTAGCCGGTGACCAACAATTGGTTCATACACCATTTGTTCCCTCAGGATACTGGAGCCCATGTGAATCGATATTTTCTAGCACAGTTTTGTGTAGTCAATTTTTGTATGAAATTTTCTAGTGGACCAACTGGTGGTTAATTAAACAACAGAAAAGATAACTAATTTTGCCACATTCATAAATATGCAGAAATTCATTTGTTTCTTAGGAAATGATTATTTTGTGCATGCCAGTAAACTCATCATTTAATCAATGGTTTAATGAGTATTTCACATAATCCTCTAGGAAATATATTTTCCAGCATTATCTAGAGTATTCAGATCAATTCATTAAATTATTTCTAATAAGGTTTGAACTTATCAATTACAAAGTGAAAACTAGAAGGATACAAGTCGATTAACTTGGTCACGGAAGATTGACTAAACTTTTGATAAATCTTATTGATAGATTTTATGTTAAAAGTAGAAATGCATTTCAAGGAGGTTAATATCAGCTATGAAGTCGTTGTCAACCGGAAAGCCAAAGATAACTGTAAGAAACTAATTTGAAATTTTGTTCAAAAGTTCAGTTTTTATGGCTCTATGTTAATTTTCTAGGTGTACATATACTTAGATAAGAAAATTAACTTTAGATGAAAATGTAATTCAGCATGATTTTTCATTAGTTTTAATTGCCTTTTATCAATCAGTCAGCTACAACGTACGACCAGCCACATATATGCATTCATTCAAGTTGCCACATCTTATTAACATAACAAGATAGACACCAAATTCATAGAAGTAGTTAATTCAATGGTAGTAATATATAAAAAAAGATTGAATATAAAGATATAATACAAGAAGCAAAAACTAGTTGATAGAAAGAAAGGCATAAAGCAATTTCAATTTCATGGTTTAAATAAGGACAGAGTGTACACACCTACGTCATTTTGATCGATTTTAAGCCATGTCACTCAGTCTCCAACCCTTGGTTACGATAGTCGCGTGAACCCCAACCAAGTAGTCTGCATCTAACAACATGGCTCAAACCAGGAGTTAGTGACTTCAAGGACTGATGCCATGTTTTGCTTTGGCCGCCCCTAACATTTTACCATTCATCCCTGACACTAGTCAGCATTGCGCTCCGTGGTAATTGGTGGTTGGGCATGCGTAATACGTGACCAAGCCATGTCAGGCGATCTAGAGGTTTTCAACCCCACAAATTGATTTCTTATAAGAGAGAAAGACAGTAATTTCTTGAAAAAAGTTGTTATTTAAAATACAGTGAATGACAAGTTGAAGTGTTTTTTCTTCGATATTTCTCAAATGAATACAGGGCGTAATTATATTTTGTATTAATATGTTATTTGACTTAGTTAAACAATAGACTTAAGTAAGATTTTACCTTAATTGAATTTAATAGTTTTTCATATGAAGAATATCAGCAAGTGAGTAAAAAGGGAAAGCATAACACGAAATAAATACAAACCTCTTTTAATATCTCCACGTGTCCATGACTTGGACTCTTCCTCAATTCGAGCAGCCTCACGTTCTGCCGCTTCTTTAGCTTCTATAATACATCCATGAAGGAAGTAGGCGAAAAGAAAAACAGTACAAAAACAATAAAAGACTACTTATAAAATTTTAAGTGACTCAATCGGTAAGTGGTTTAATTAATTTATTCTGATTAGCGTTTTTTCTAGTAAGGTTTTTTTCTATGGAACAGGGTTTCTGACCCCACTCGCAACCGTTTTTTATCCGGACTTGGAACCGGCAGTAAGCCTAGAAGGACTACAGGCACTGATGCCACATTTTAGTTTGGCTGCTTCTAACTTTCTTCCAACCATCCCCAACACCGGTTAGCATTGGACGTCGTGTTAATTTAATTCATTTATTTGAATGAATTAAATAAAGTTCAAAATGAAAATTGCACTGCAGCACTAAATGAACAGAGTACTCGAAAATGGCTAGACATAGCAATATTATAGAATAATGAAAACGAACGGTTATCCTCATATACAAATGATCAACGACTTGAATTTGATCCTGACAAGAAAGATTGAACGTGAAACAATTTTAAAAGCCTGATACGATTAACTTTGAATTTGGAGAGAAGACACCTACACAAACCTGTAATCATGGGGCAAATTCGCATAAGAATTTTGTACAAGCGTATACAGATATGTATTAAGGCTGAATACTCACTCCTTTAACAAATAAGCGTGCCACTATTTTATTATTTATTTTATTTTATTTGAACACGTAAATATTGGTACAAGGGGGCACCAAATATACATGCGCCACACAATAACAATGAGGATGGGAAGAGAAAAAAGAAGGTAAGGTGCGTATAGAAAAAAAAGAGAACAGTAACGACCACAGATTAGTGTAAGGAAGTGTGATAAAATAATAATAATAACCAGAAGAATTCTGTTTGTTAATGAAGGTACAACTACGTTTTATGGAGAAAGTAAGAGAAAGTTACAGCAGGATCGCTACTGACTTCTATTCTGAGCCATATCTGATAACGTCTCTAGACACTGTGTTGCACCATCTCTCGAACCCCAACCAGGGAGTCGAGAAGGACCAACACAAGCCGGCCCTTTACAGCTTTCTTTAAGTACCATGACACCATGTGATACACCGACCACATCTTCACTATTTCCAACCAGCCCCAGCGTCGGCAAATAATACATGACGAGGAATTCTCTGGGACGACATTCATAGAACACACCGTACCTAAGGACATTGATTGCCAACTGATTAAGTGAGGATTGCATAGCTTGGGCATTCTCGCACAGCAAGACAATATCATCCGCATACTCAAGGTCGAGAAGTCTTTCTCTAGTCAACAGATCCACACCATTATTACTTACATCCATCAGAGCTGTTTCCAGAATGTCATCGATGGCAAAGTTGAAGAGGAATGGTGAGATTGGGCAACCCGGTCTAACCCAACTGCTTGAATGGAACAATGGAGAAAGATGATTGTATGTTCTCACTCTGCCTGAGGTGTTTGCGTATAGGGCTTTTAGGATGTTATTAAACTTCTCAGACACACCCTTCTTCAATAGACAATCCCAGAGAACAGTCCTGTCCAAAGAAACGAAGGCAGCTCTGATATCAAGAAACACTATGATTGCTGGCCTTTGATAAGTATGACGGTGTTCTAGAGTGTGGCGGAGGGTGAAGATATGATCAATGCATTCTCGACCAAAACGAAAACCAGCCTGCTCCTCGCGGAGTGTGGCCCCCTAAGAAAACCACCTACTTCAGTCTGGGCACCCGGGCAGTATCACATTCCACACAAAAATAAAATGAAAATGACCAAATTTACTGAAAATTCTATTCACGCTTCGATTAACAGTCAAACAATTCACATTATCATTATTATTTACTACGTCACTTATTCTCTCTTTTATTCCCACTTTGTGTATCTTTATTTTTCAACTCATGTTTTGACTTTTGTTTCAACTCTGATAGGAATAATCATGGTAGAAGTGTATGGGACTACTAGTGATACAAATTCACACGGGATAAATACGTAAAGGATCTCAGTTACATCTAGTTAAATCCCAAGAACGCAGAATACAGCATTTGGTATTTTTAAACAAAATCTAAGAAAAATGAAATACCTTGTTCTCGTTTCTGACGTTCAGCTTCTGCAGCTAGTTCACGTTGTTTCTGTTCTTCACGTTCAATTGCTTCTTGTGCAGCTCGACGACGTGCCTCAGCTTCTAATTCAGCCTCATGTCTAGCTCTTCTTTCGGCCAATCTTTCCGATCGTTTTTGATCACACAGAGCCTCCCATTCTGCCAATTTAGCTCTATAGCGATTATCACGAGCTTCTTTTAATTGACTAACAAGACGCTACAATTATACATAGTAAACAAAAATATGTCCAAAGGGTAAGGACTAGGAATATGGCTTGAAAATACAATGGAAAGATATATATGAAGGGAAGCAGGAATTCAAGATAAAAAGTACGTACACTTGGGCCATCATAACTGATCTTAAGCCATGTCACATAAAGCCTTAAACCATTGATCACGATAATTGTACGTACTTCAACCACGTGGTCTAAACTTACCTACATGGTTTAGTTTGATTATTAATTACTTTATAGTTTGATACGTTTTGCTTTGGACACGACTAGTTCTTTTAATCTACTAATACACCAGCAAACATCGGGGTTCGATGTCGGTGATCGTTTGACGAATGCGAAACATATTCCCACCGTCTTCTCACTTCATGAAGGTTCACTGCCTTACCAAAGAATATACCGTCACTTACTACTTTACGTCTAACTTCGGAATAGCTCACTCCGTGAGAGACCGATGATCACACATTAGCAACCTACAAATATTCTGTTTTTGAATGCCATGTTTCACAACCATAAAGTATAACAGAACGAACAATTGTGCATTTTACTCATTCTTTCTTGGCTTCTTGTTTCCCAAATGTTGGAGACTATTGTAAAACATTTACCAAATACGAAGTTTAACAGCTTTTAACCTAACTCCTTAGGTGAGTGGTACTAACCAGCTGACTGAACAGAGCAAAATATGTGAATCGGGTTTTAAACTTCGGAGATACTGTTCTAGGTTAGACAATAAAAACAAGACAATTTGAATTAACCTTTACAACTAAACATAAGCTAACAAGACAGTTTAAAAATGTGTTTTGAAAGATATCAGCACTTTCTACTTTCATCCATTAAGTCATAGATTTAAACGTTGTTCTATCTACTTCAGTTTCGGCAACCGGGCAAGTATTACTAGCAATAAGACTTAAAGGATGGCCCAACGTCAAGTACACACATCTGTACTTGCAAAATAAGTTAAAACAACAGCTATGAACAAGTTGGCTACAAAGTTTGAAAACAGAAAAAAAACATGCAACGAAACGAATACCTGGACATCAGATTTCATTCGAATCAATCGATTACGTTCTTTTAATTGTCGTGCATGCTCGGCTTTCGAATGCTCTTCAATTTCTCTGACACTCTGCTCAAATAATTCACGAGATTCAATAGCTTCTGGCTCAATATTTGCCTGTAACAATGGGATTTCTTCAATACGACAAGCACGTGTATAATAGTCCAATTTTTTCGCCATTGTTTTAGCTTTCTCCGCTAGTTCTTTTCGCTTTTTCTTCACCTCTTGTTTCTGAACGATGAAAAATAAACAGAATGATTAGAACTAAAGTAGGAAAATAACAGTTATCTTGATCATAGACAAACGCTAAACAATAAAATTACTACTATTTATTAAAGGTATATTCATTGTTAGACTGAGTCGTGTTGTTATAATTCTTTCTTATTACGACCCAGCTATTTCAGTTGCTTAGTATTCTCGGACACCAATTCACTCGACAAGTCCCCGAATCAGAAGGCGGTTGAACAGGAAAGAGATTGTATTCTAAATACCAAGCTTATATAGAAGTAAGAAACACAATGGGAAAAACGCTAGTATATTTATAGTTTTTTATATGAGAAGTTTCCAGAGTGTTCTCCATGTATCGACATGGAGAACACTCTGGAAACTTCTCATGTAAAAAAAACTAATTCTTTCTTCCTGTACTATCTCCTTATATGCAAGCTTTCTTCTATATATTACCACTGAATTAACTACTTCTTTGAATCCGATGTTCATCTTGTTGTGCTAATGAGGTATGCTAACTTGGACCGATGCATATATGTGCCTGGTCCTACGTTGCAACTGACTGACTGACTGACCATGTATCGACTAGCACTGATTGGGTAAGAATTAGCCAATCAGCGCGCACCAATGCAATCGTACATTGAGCATGCTTTAATCCAATCTGTGTCGCGCTAACACATGTAGATGGGTGCACACAAATTGGTTGGGGTCAGTGTGATTATCGCAATCGAAGGTTAAGGGGTTTGGCTGACATGGGTCTAAATGGTTCGCGATGGCGCAGGTGCATCCGTTTTTTTAATCCTTTCCAAATCCTGAGATTATAAATCCGTCATGTTTTTTTCTTTCCAAATCGAATCTTCGATACCTGATTTTTTATCGCTACAGTTAATACTGTTTACTGTATCTACTAGTCTGAGGTTTAGCAATGGTGTATGGCAACTTAAGCCGATGTGCATATGTGCCAGGTTCTTACGTTGATTATGACCGATTGACATATGTATTCGAAAATAAGACTATGGAAAAAATGTAAAACATTTGCTGCTAAGGTGATCATGGGATAACTCAAATTTTGTTAATAATCTTGAGGTCTTACGGGTAACGGTAACCGCGAATGCTTTCTTCTTAACTCAATTTATTAAATGACCATTTCTGATTAGTTATCACTACTTTTCTGCATGCCCCAAAGTCAGGCTTTCGTTAGTATATATATTAGATGGTGGTCGGAGGTAGTCGACAGGAAACCGTGGACCCGGGTTTCGTGCTACTTGGCACTCGTCAGCAGGGGGTACCTGTAATCTTGAGGAAACTGGTGCTTCCTTACGGATTCGATCCCGTGTCACCCAGCTTCACAGTCAAAGACGTTACCACTGAGCTATCCGGGTCGCGACCAACCTCCTGTAGGACTGAGATGTAATCACAATTGATTGATCACTGGGTGGTGACCAATGTCATGCGTGTCTAGTCCTTATTAGTGCAGATCGAATGCTATCGACTATGTTGCAATGTGGCCACCAGTCGTTAGTATATATATGCTAAGATTTGCTAAAATATCTAGTTTTTCTTACACTCCATCTTACAGTGGCAGTTGATAATTATTAAAATGTTGCATGTAAGATGTATAGTTTATTCAAGTTCAGATTTGTCTCATTTATATTAGAAAATCCACAATTGTTCATCAACAACATTTGCCATCAACCCAATAAATAATCATTTTTAATTAAGAAATAGCATTAGTAACAAAAAGTTAAACACAAAAACATTCCATTTCATGCTACCAAAAGAGTTCTGAATATAACTGAGTTCAACAATTGGAGGAAGAGGCGAAGAGAGATTAAGCTTTTTTCTAATTCGAATTTTGATATACTTTTGTTGATTAAAAATTTAGGATCTGAAAAAAGACATATATATATATATATATATATATATATATATATATATATATATAGGCACCTGCATTATTGTGAATGATTTTAAGCCACATCACCGAAGGTCTCTAACCACAGATTATGATTATCACGTGAACTCGAACCAGGTAGTCTAAACCTACCCACAGGGTTCAATTTAATAGTCAGTGTCTTCATGGACTAATGACATATTTTAATTTGACCACGTCTATCTTTCTCTCGACCTATAAATATACCAAACAAACATCAAGTATCTAAATAGTCAGTAGATAAGCATACATATTACATTATTTCAGTCAATCGAAACTTACTATTTTTTTTTGGTTAATCAATTAGTCTCACTTATAATACAACATTGACAGAGTATTAAAACAACATCAATGAATTGATTAAATATAGTGAAAATAAAAATATTGTAACCCCATAAAAATAATTGATTTAATAACCACTCGAATTCTTAGAATAAACAAGGATGTATTGATTTATGAGGAAATAATTTTACTATTCTAATGGTCAATAGTGTAAGAGAATTTTCTGGGAATTTCGCTAGACGACAAATATATATATATATATATATATATATATATATATATATATATATATATATATATATATATATATATATATACATGAATAATATTGAGAATCACATACTTGTTTATTAATAAGTTTATCTGCATCAAAATTTTCAAGTTGTTCTTCTGTTAACTCTTTTAAATCAAGTTTTGTATCAATTTTTAATTCTAACAACATTTTTAAACTAGTACGTGCCATTCGTAATTTTAAACGAGCTCTTTCATCTTCAGTTTTTATTCGTTCACGTTGTATAGCTTCATTGGCTAAATTAGTTTCTTCCGCTTTCAATAGACGTTCTTGTTCGGCTTGACGTCTTGCTTCAACAATACTGTAATACTAGAGTGAAAAAAACAAACAAAAATAAAGAACACTCAAGTATTTTTGCTATTTTAGTGAAGATAAAACTACAAATGATCATCTATTTTATTTAGTAAAAACAAATTACCTGATCTCGTTTACCCTGATACGTTTCAATCTCTTCCTTTCGGGCTTCAATTAAACAACGTCGATTAAGCAATTCACTGCGTAAAACTTTTTCATTTTTCCGGTAATCATGAACAAGTGCACGTCGACAATTAGCTAAAGACTGGCCAACTTCCAGTATATCAGTTATCTGTTGCATCACTTGAGCAAACATTGTTAGTTGACGAGACAATTTGTCTGGGTCATTTACATGGGTTGACTAAAAGAATTAAAAATAAAGTTACATTATCAAAAACATTTTCACATACGAAAACGTTCAAAATTGACGTATACCAAATACTTCCAACTCTCGAAAGTGTAAAAGCAGTTTGTAGCATTCACTAAACAATAAGCAATGTCAGAAACATAAGTCTACAATGGCTAGTGAAACAAAAAAGACTTTAATATGTTGGGTACCCAGTAGGAAACCTTAGATCTAGGTTTCGTGCTAATTGGTACTCACCAACAAAGTGTACCTAGAACCTTAAGGGAACTGGCGATTCTTGGTGAATTCAAATCCTCGTCACCTAGCTTCATAGTTTTAGATATTACCAACAAGATATTCGAATCTTAAGTGACCTGTAGGACTGATATATCTGTAAGTGATTGGTCACTACTCAATGGTTAATCAGTTGTAATATTGGGGACATCTAACATTATGAATAAAGCATATTATCTGGAGTTTTAAAGATGGGGAGAAAATCAGCAACTGATTTGGTGTTTACATAAGGGCTAGGTGATACTACCAACCTATCCAAAATAATGTAGGTAGCGAAGGGTTACGAACATGAAGCTTACTACTCAGTCTGCCATACATAACCGAGGATCTGGCACATATGTGGGTCGGTTCAAGTTGTGACATATTAACACAACAAGGTGGAGAAACCAATAAGACTCCAAGAATAGTAAATAATAATAATAAATTCGCGAAATGAAAGAAGAGTAGGTATTTGAAAACAAATATTGAATACATCCGTGCTTTTACGGCTGATCATGAGCTATGTAACACAACGTATCCAATCGTTACTTACGACAATAGCGCGGACTCCAACCACACAGTCTGAATCTACTAACACGTTTCAGTCACATTATCAATAACCTCATGGACTGAAGCTACATACTAGTTTACCCTCCCGTAATCTACTGCTTGAAAAAGAAGTATTTTGATCAGTAGGTGACATGATTTTAGGTAAATATTCGTAGTGTAAACATTTATCAACACAATCTGTGGATCTTGTACTAGTTGAGTTTTTCGTTCTTCATTATTTTTTTATTCTTGTATTTTGTTATGTTTAAACAGTGACAAATTCAGATCATGCATAATTTGGTCCGAATTTGAAAGTTGTTGGGATTACCTTTCTTTCAAAAAGCTATGTAAATGGATTAGGGGCCCTATCAATTTTGATTACTTAAAAATTGAGAAACTTTTGCAGCAATACATACCAAATTTGACAACCTGAGATAAAGAGAAACATATCTATCCGTTGAAAAGGAAGTATTCCAGTAAAACAGTTTGCTTTTGTATTATTTCATAAATGTCGAAGGTCTTCGAAGGGTAGGTATATTGGTCAGGTTTCTAGTGTTTGATCATGGATATTTTTACGCATAATACTTGCGATCAGTGAACTTACTCAGTAAGTCGTGCTAACTCTAGACGCAGGAATAAAAAATTGATCTTTGGTTCTATAGACTACTATCGACTAAAATTGTTTAGATACATATTCTACAAAGGCCAAGAGTAAAGTGGTCGCAGTTCATAGAGTTATTGATTCCTGAACGTTATCAAGAAATATAGGGTTTCCAGTTGAAGATTGGGGAGAGATTGCAACCTATCACTGAAGAACTCAAATGATATGGCTTGAAATTAAACACAATGGCACCGATACGTTTTTCGATTTTTCTTTAGACTCAATTTTTTTTCCCTGCATAGGACGTGTAATCTCGTATGTTTTGTAAGTAGACGACTTTTGTTAGTATCAAGGACCAATGGATAGTGGTTTTGTCTATGCTTTTATTTGTTAGATAACATCTAAATTTTTATATAAGAGTCCACAGAAATAACATGACATCATACTCCTAGCTAACGTGAGTAGTCAAAGAATATTCGCGTAAAACAATGAGAATCGATAGAATGGAACGAGACGTTAGAAATTAATTAGTTTTTAAACCTGTTGAAGTTCACATTATATACGTTAAGAAAATAGACGGAATAAGATTAAAACTTGCGTTGTACAAATCAATCTGTACATACACATAAACTCATAATAGTCATTCAGATGGACTTTTTACTAAATATTAAGGAACTGGTAACATAATATACCTGTGATACTAACTGTCCACCATATTCACATTGACTTATTCCCAGATCTGTAAATTTATCAAAGAAAATTGCTTGTTGTAAATGATTGACTCGAATAGGCAGTTCCAAATTATGAATTAACTCAATTACAATTCTTTCAAGTCGAATAGGCTCCATGAATGGACATAGTTTGACGAATTCGTCGAAATTCAAGCTTTGATAGACTTGAGATAATTGTAGAAGTGTTTTTGCTACAATAACATCGTGTAGTTGCGTAATGTACACTTGGAGATCTGAACACGTGGTTATATGGGCAAGTGCTGGTTGAACAAGTTCCCACAGTTTCAAAGGTTGAAAGTCCGCTTCTAGAACTTGGTACAACTTTGCTAAATTTGACGGGACAACAGTGTGCACTTTGTGACGAACCAGATCACGTATTAAACTCTGACGAGTTGGTACTTGAATGAGACCTAGAATTCAGTGAAATGTTACGAATAATTAATGGAAATAAATTACCCAAAAGTCCAGCAAGTGTTTTCTGCTTTATAATAGTGTATTCGCCAGATAAGAATTTGTCAGCATTAAGTTTCGCATTTGGCAAAGGAATGGCAACAGTTGCACAAAGTACACGAGATCCAAGATCAGATAGTTCTTCACGAGTTAAATTCTTTTTCTGATCACGATATAACGTGTAAAGTTTGTGTAAAGCAGCAGCGTGATATAAATGGCAACCGCATCGTCGAAAAAGTTCCGCTGTTTTTGAGTAGTAATTGGTCATTAATGAAGGCATAGCATGTATTCGTGAAATCATCATAAAACTCCAAATATCTTCAACAGTTTTAAAAGCTTCGTTATACATATCTAGTTCCATGGCACAATCCAACTGTCGTAATCTAGTCTCTAAGTGTAATGTCTGTGTTTCGGCATTATTCAAATTTATAGCATTAAGTGCATTAGGTTGTAACTGATTCTGGACTTTCTGAGTATGTTGTCGAATCTTTTATAAGTATGAAGAAAATAATGTGATGGTTAAATGAAAAATTAACATACCAGTTCACATAGCTTTTTGAATTCCGTCTTCCGACCATACTTCAAACAGAAGTTATAAGCTGTAAAGTGTACAAAAAAGTGGTTAGTAATGTCCAAGTCTTACCATCATGAGCTACTTCATGATACAGCTTTTCTAACTTTGAATTGCTACGTAACAAATCTAGCACCAAACGATAGGAATCCCAGAGAAATTTTAACCATGGCATCAGAATTGTTCTAGCAGATCGGTCTTGAGTACCCTCCATACTAACTGCATTTAACATGAGACTATACAATGGAAAGAATAGGAAACAAGCACTTCAATCAACACGTAGAAAATGAAAGTAAAACTTCATTCTTCCATAAATTTAGTCTTTGACTAGTAATGGAAACTAAGAACGATACATCATTCTGTTTCCGATCACTGATTTATATGGCGAAACGCAAGTCCAAATTGTCTCCTGATCATTTTTGTCAGCTGTTTCAGTAGTAATAACAGTTATTACCAACTTATAACTAGGTATAGGTTCGTACACGGCTCCAAGTCACATTAGATGTGAGGGATAGTGATGCTACCTTGTTATTCAAATCTAAGGTGGAGCAGGGTTCGGGCCTGTGACCCCTGAGTCACCTATCAAGTATTTAATTTAGGTTGTCTGATATTTAGCCACAGTACTTGTAAAGATTAGTGATAATAGATAGTCTCGCGGGCCAAAGCAAATGTAACTGGCTTCAAAAATGTAACCAGTTGATTATAAGCTGAGTGCTTCTAGTTACTAAACCACCGCTGACTAATTTTCTGTCAATGGCTTTAAGGTCACAGCCTGTTTGTATTTTACCCATACCTGAGGTAGGTTGGTCACACGTGTTGGTACCAACCAACTAATTCTCAGTGTATGTTCGGAATATGACCTGCTTCACTACTACAAGATTTCGAGGTCCAAAACAACTATATGAAAATCGTTAAGTGATTTCTTCAAAGATTGAATACAATGAAAATGACCACAGATATTTTTGTCTATTATTAACAACCATGTCTGACAGTCCTTAGGTAAAAGGTTGTACCAACACACACTACAAATATACTGCATGATAATGGAACTCGAAAACACGTAAGGAAGAACTAAATGCACACAACCTACAAACCTTTCTGGAGTTTCCAGGACATCCAAATCCTCAATTTCCATAATAGCACTTTTTGACACTTCTTGAGCTTCTTCAGTTTTACCCTTTATCTGGTTCAGGTAATAACGAATAACTTGTTCGAGTGAAATAGTGTTTTCCTAATGGATATTAGCGAAATAAAAATAACAAGGATGGAAAAACGATTACCATAACGCTCATATTTTTGTAGGTATAAATTGCTTTTCTGAAGTGGATGTTCTTACGGAGTTCCACACAAAGTTCAACAAACAGCATCATTAATTCTTCCAAGACCTTTTGCCATTGTTTAGTTCGTCTAACTCGCATCACTTCGTACAGAATTTCCAAAGCGTTAGATTTTTTGTCACATTTTATAAGTTCTATTTAATAAAAAAGAGAAAATGTTAACTATATACATATAATACATGTCAATTGAGAGGACATTTACCAAATTAGCTAAGCAAATGGAAACGGAAAACAGAAAAATCTAAGTGCAACAACGCTTTTACGGACCAATCTTTTACAGATTGATCCGTAAAAGCGTTCAAGGACCCCAAATGCCCTGGTACGGACGAGAGTGGGGAGAGTGCTGTCCCTCTCGAAATGCTCTCATGGCCACGCGTATATAGCCTTTACCAGGAAAGTCCTATTCACTGCCTTCTCGTGGCGGGGGTGTTGTTCACGAAGTTGAGAGGACGAAAAACGAATGTCCGGCGCTTTAACTGGGTCGGTGGACACGGAGAGTCTACCTAGGGCAGTTGGAAAACCCTGATTCTAAACCAAGGTGCATATGGGCTTCAGGATCCTGAAGGAACAAATGAAGTATGAACCAATTGTTGGTCACCGGCTACCATGAGACTACATCTCCTTAAATGCTTCACTGCCTTGTGGATCCGACCTCTAGATCGAAGGCTCCGGGTGTGGTCCCCTAAGAACACCACCTGCTTCGGGTTGGGCACCCGGGCAGTATCACAGCCCTCACACATATCAAATGAGATCTGTGTGACATATATGTATTTGGTGCCACCTTGTACCAGTATCTATATGTTCAAATAATAAATAATAATAATAGAATCTGTTAAAGATAGAAATCACGTATGTACAACATGAAAAAGTATAATACTAATCTTAACGTCTATTGTATTACTAAAATTAGGAAATTTTTAAAATTAGTGATTGCTTTACTCGTAAAATGTATGAAAATGGGCATTTGTATGGCAGTCACGATGAAAAAAATCAGAGTAACCAGGCATTTGTTTCCACCTTGAGCTTACGGGAAAAATATTAAAAGTTAACACTAATTAAAGATTTTTTATTTTTGAGCGATTTTTATTTATTTTATTTTAACACATAGACATTGGTACAAGGAGGCAACAAATACATATGCGCCACACAAATCTCAATTGATTTGTATGAGGGCTTTGATACTGCCCGGGCGCCCGAACCGAACCAGGTGGTTTTCTTAGGGGGCCACACCCCGAGCCTTCGGCCTGAACGTCTGATCCACAAGACAGTGGAGCATCGTAAGGAGATGTAGTCCCATGGTAGCCGGTGACCAACAATTGGTTCATACGCCATTTGTTCCCGCAGGATACTGGAGCCAGCTCATGTGCACTATTGGTTTGAGATCCCGTTAAAGCGCCGGACATTCGCTTCTCGTCCTCTCAATTTCGTAAACAACACCCCCGCCACGAGAAGGCAGTGAGTAAGACTTCCCTGGCAGAGGCTATATACGCGTGGCCGTGTGAGAGTATTCCGAGAGAAGGACTCTCCCCACTCGGCCGTACCAGGGCATTTAGGCGCTATTACAGATCAACGTTAACAGACGACCTGACAGATCGATTTCCCTTAACAAACCAACGTAGAGGTGAATTTAACAGAATGAGTAGAGTAGTAGCATGAATAATAGTGAAGTTTATGTTGATACAGTAAAACTAAATATATAGACGGCTTAAAATGAAAAAAACTGGCACATTACAATTTCCCAGTGACACAGTATAAAATTTCAAAATTAAAAAGAAATTATATAAATGTAATTTGAGCCACCTCACCCACGGTCTCTAATCATTGATCATCACTATCGACTAAAGCAAGTAGTCGACACCTTAACCCAATAATCGATGACTATAGGGAAACGCTATCTTGTTTTGACTGCAATTAGCAAATGTCCGGCTCTATAACCGGATCCCAAACATATGGTGCACATGGGCTCCAGTATCCTGCGGGAACAAATGGCGTATGAACCAATCGTTGGTCACCGGCTGCCATGGGACTGCATCTCCTCACGATGCCCCACAGCCTTGAGGTCAGACATTTAGGTCAAAGGCTCGGGGTGTGGCCCCCTAAGAAAACCACCTGCTTCGGTTTGGGCACCCGGGCAGTATCACAGCCCTCACACATATCAAATGAGATCTGTGTGGCGCATATGTATTTGGTGCCTTCTTGTACCGATATCTATGTGTTAAAATAAATAATAAATAAGCTTTGCTTTAACATACTTGTACCCCATCCATCATGTCTCGAGGTAGGTGGTTAAAATATTTCCAACATATCATAATCTACGTCACAGCCAAGATTATAAACATGTATTGACGTACAAGTTACTCAACTTCGGCTATGATTCAAACAATAAAAGACGCTGATCTTCCTTAATAACTTACATGGACGAATGTAATAATTAATGTAGACAATTTTAACAATTAAATAGTCTTACTTAAGCAGGGAAGATCAAGAGAAACTAGACACTTCCAGCACAGCAAACGTTGCTACAATCGCCTGTTGTTATTAGAATCACTATACATTCGTACAAAGTCAACGTTATCCAAGACTGCTTTACTTCTGAATATTTACGAATTTAGAACCAATAGAACTGGTTGCAAAATATGAATAGCCATCTCATAGTGTTGAACTAAGGATAGCAGATTATTAGTGACAACTTCAAGAGTGCGTCAGTTTGTGACGCTCTTATATGTACGTTAAGCTCATGCAATGGTAATGAACTTCTATCTCCAGATAACCGTCATCATCTGTTACAGACTAGGTAATGTTTCGTGAACACACACAGAAACTGTGTTTCCTCTCTAATCTTGCACATCACATTATTTTATGCCATTTGGTATTTTACTATTTAGTTCTTTACAGCTATGATTAGTACTTTATTAGATTACAAAGAGAATAAGTGTTTGAGGCCACCACAAAACTTGCAGCAGATAGTTAGAACTTGAGCAGTAAGTTATACGTCTATTAACCAATAAGATAAATAACTTCTGTAACAGTATCTGAGGACAACATTAAACAAATTTTAACGTAAAGCGTCATAAATGTGTATTACGATTCCGTCAACCACTGGATTTAAATTGCTTCTTCCTAGAGATACTAGTTATTCATTCAAGTTAGTAGTACGTAAAGCTAAAAAAATAACCAATGAAGCCCTAATAACTATATCAAGAGCTTCACAAATTCCGAATACTCGACAACAATTCCCTTCGAGGTTCGCAACCTGTTTGTACGGCGGTACAGGCAAAATGACATTTAACTAGTCTCGAAAAAGCTCGTCATTTAATAAAGAATAAATAACTCTATCAATTTAAACGTTTTCCATAGTGCTAGTTTTCAAATATTCTTAACAAGCAAAATCTGTGATTAGTCATTGGTTTCGTATGCGTCGATGTCCCATATGAGAGGATACAGTTAACATAATTTTTTAAACACCAGAAATGTAAATGCTCGAATTCAACTGGAAATTTGTACAACTCATAGCTATGTATGGCTAGTGGTTGTTTCCCAGAACTGGAAGGAGCCCATTGTGATATGACACGTCGAACAACGTAATTTTTGCAAGGACAATTACAGCATACCTCTCGCTTTAGTCAATGCAGTTTCCGGCTTATGATATTGGCTTGGAGGCATTATCACAGGAAGACACGCGAACACACAGGGTTCAACTAGAGCGGTACACACGAATGACTAAAAGTAGCTTCAATCTTGAATCCTCGTCTTGCAATGCTAACAGACTTATTGTTCCTTGAGATTCATACTCAACCTTCATTCAACTGGACTTTATTCATATAATAAACACACAGTTTAGGATAAGGTTATTCTACTATGACAAATGTGTTTCTATAATAATGTTTGGAATCCAAAGGTTTTTGAGATGAAACATTTAACTACTAGTAAATTTGATATTTGAGTTTGGTCTAAAGAAGATATTTATTTGGTGGCAAAAAATAAACTCTCGGACAGAGTAACTTTCCCGAAATATATTCCGCTACTTCACATATTCCAAAATATACAGTTTCAGTTTGCGAAAGATCAATGGTAGGATGGCCTGTTAATCCTAGTGATGGAGATAATCCAGCCGGCTCAACTTTTTTCGATATCCATGGACAAGTTAGGCTTCAGCCGCATACCAAGGTTAGGAACTCTATTGCTTGACAGTTCGATGGAAAAGATGGTAGTAGTAGTAGTAGTAGTAGTAGTAGTAAGTAACTTATCCCAGACATGCGAACGGTTGGGAGTATCCTAGTGAATTCTTTGTTCCAGAGAACAAAACCGAGGGTATGCGTAGCAGAAATATACGACTGTGCGATCCTAAAACAGAGGAAATGTCACTGTTATTTCTTCTACATGACGTGGAGAATAGATTTATTTACTAAACCTCTTTCAACATCTCTGTCTTTATTAAGCAATAGATAGGTAAACAAGTTTTAGTTTGGGTCCAGCAACTACTGTAAACAGGGTGAAAAGGGTCATAACATCTACGCAACTGAAATATCTGCGCAATGATTAAAATCTACTTAAGCATTCAGCAGCTGAAACAAAGCAACAAATATTGTATTACAAGTCTTAGTTGTCAGCGGACCTTAGATTAGTATATGTTCTAACTACATGCATATTACGGGCATCAATCGAAGATGTATCTGTTCCTGAGCCATAAGGATGTCTTATAATGCATTTGGGAGCAATAATCAGCAACTGCCTAATTTCGGACTATAATATTAGCTTCTACATGTTATTCCGAAGCTTTGAAATATTCGATCCCTCTCTATGGTGTATGTGTCGACAGACATAAGTAACATGTAACACAAGTCAGAAGTGGAATGCCAGGCAACAGAAGGTTAAGAGGATCGGTTTGAAGAGAACGGTAATGTAAACAGAGAGTAATTGTAAAAGCAATGAAGGAACGATGGAGTTTGAAAAAATTGATGGAAGATTTGCAATTATGTATTTATTGTGTAGTTTTCACATTTCACGAATAATCTGTGCAATTTCTCAATCTCAGATATCGTTCACCACACTCTTGTCTATATCTTGAGTATATGATAAGGCTGATCATGGAGAGACTGGAAAATTCATTAGAATATTAGAATAAAAGTGGCCATAAAACTGCATTCTAAATGAATCGCGACATAGTTTTTGGGCTAGATGATTTAAATTTAATCCGTAATCTCCGTTGGCATGTAACTAAAGACAAATTGTAACGTACTCCAACGGTGCCTAATGTAGATAAGATTTTATCAAAAGCCTTGCTGAGGTTAATAAATTTTATATGTATGGGTAACTTCTAATCCTTCAGAATACAATGAAAGCTTATTGAGACATCAGTAACCTATTTTGTAGCCATTCTGCTCTCCAGAGATAATCTGACCTCTTCCAAACACTAAAAAAACGTTTTAGAGAAGGGTCTTTCCTAGAATCTTGAGAACTTATGTGATTTTAGCTCTCAAGTATACGTGCATACCTGTTCTAAAGATAGAACTCGCTTTAATTATTGGTCGGTACTGAATGATATAGCTTTAGAGCCATTACTATCCCGTGAGTTTTACTACACCAAGGTTATTTATCCGATAAGAAATAATGAATTTTCGATTGTCGTAATATCTAGAGAAAAAGTATCAAGTATTACCTGTTCTTGAAAGTAAAATGCCTATACTGTACTTATGTTGCTAAGGTAGCCTAAGAATACTCGAGCTTGCCATAATCGTCTTCCATTATTGGTGTGCCAGCTCCATCTCTATGTAGTCTGGAGAAATTCCCTTTCTTCTTCGTCCTGCGTTTTGTGCGAGAAGAGACGAGGTATCGAAACTCAGTGGTTAGCGTTTTTTTGGCGAGTTATTTTTCTACGGGATGGGGTCGCTTACCCCATGCCCAACCCTCCTCCTTTACCTGGGCTTGGGACCGGCAGTAGCCCCCGGAGGGGCTCCAGGCGGAGTTACAAGTAGTTGTAACCTTAGTCTCACCAGCGCCTAGTAACCTGACTCTTCTCAACATTACTTCCTTTGTACGGCAAATGGTGTAGACGTTTCCGCTGAAACATTGGGGAAATTCGTGGTTTCCAATGCATCGTTCATGGTATTTGTGTCGAGGTTATGATGGGTTAGTGCATTTACTAAAAATGATAATTCTGAACTTGAGTCAAGCCTCGTTGTCTTTTAACTTCCCTTACTGGTGAACATATTGTGAATGCATTTGTAAGATCCAAACTAACGTTTGGACTGAAGAATAGCTGTCTTGGTGGGTTAGATACGCGCCCTTGCCCGTTTGAAACCAAAACAAAGTAATCGGGTGAAATGACGGTTCTATAATTCATCATAAATTTAAATGTACATCGTTACCTAAACAAATATAACCACCCAGCTATCCAACCAACAATAGTTCAATTAATCAAATCTAAATTACATTAAATAAGAAAGTTGAAAAAAGGATGCTAGAAAATTACCAATCGCAACAAATAGATGTTATTCTATCCTGTCTGGATAGATCACACACAGATTCGTTCAAAAGATAATGTTTGGTTGCTTTATAACACCAAGTGTTTTCAATTCTGGAAGAGTGCTTCAACTCACAATCAAAAATGCACAATTCCAGTCAATGCACGCAACACAATCAAAGGGAGGAACAACCCAATATAGCTGCCGCCAAGAATAGGTATCAAGTCAAACAACATAAATGCAGTTCAGAAAGAAACACGGAAACTTAGTGAAAGCGTAAGAAAAATAAAAACTATAATAAAATACAAATGCTATTAAATCAAATGGAATGAAAAAGACTAATAAAAATGTACAACCAAAGGTATCAATATGAATAAACTGCAAGTATATACATGGAGGGATTTACACACACACAAATCATTCAAAATGGATCTTACACCGGCCCTCAAAATCCCTCCATACAACACAAGCCACCTTGATGCCTATGGTCATGGTTCATACTACAACATATTCTACTACACAGGAACGAGCAGGACTTACAACTGTACGCCTACTCGACCTACCTACCTTGATAATAGCAAAGAACTAATTCGAACCTTCAAGGAGACATACCTTACGTATATCTCTTCTAACTAATCCATTATTCGTACGAACAGTAACCGTCCTAACCTTTTCGTCGTTATCTATTTCACAACCTTCCACTACTCCTAAGGGCCACTTTCCACGGGTCGAAATATCCGAAGTCACGATTACTACATCTCCCTTTTGAAAATTGCGATGTTCAGTTAACCATTTTTGACGTTTTTGTAAGGACGGTAAATACTCTCTTAACCACCTTTTCCAAAACACATTAGCTAGATAATTAACCTGTTTCCAACGTTTGTCATATTTGTCTCGAACGCTACCTTCATCTACTATTCCGTCACATTCTCTCAATAACAGCAAAGTATTTGGCGATAAGGCTAGCTTATCGTTAGCATCTTGGATAACTGGAGTTAAGGGTCGATCGTTCAGTATCCTTTCTACTTCGACCAAATAAGTGCATAAAGCCTCGTCAGTTAAAGTCTGTTCTCTGGTGATCAACAATAACAGTCGGCGTATAGACCTAATCATCCTTTCCCATACTCCACCCCTGTGGCTGGATGAGGGTGGGTTAAAATGCCATTGAATCTGCCTCGCTGACATCTCGTTACTTATCTTCTGCTGATTAAACTGTTTCACAAATTTCCACTTTCCCGGGCCATATTCCAAAGAGCAGTGTTTCTTTACTACTAGTCGAGGTTCTGTCCATCCTTGAAAATGTGACGTTTGTGAGGCATAGTTCAACACTGTATAAGGACAGAGCTTGTTGTGTGAACGTAGGTCATTTTTGTGATACATTCAAAGACCATTTCCGTAGCTTCTGGTTGCACATGATCCGTAATAAGTCATCTGCCCCCAAAAATTCATCACCTTAAAACTTATTTTCGTGAGATCGTTCTCTCCGGTTTTTGACTTTAGTATCAGTTTATTTTTGGAAAGTTTTTTCGGATATAACCCCTGACCCCCTCAGACTGCTTCCACTTCTCATAATCAAATTTCTGTATTTTTTAGATCCAAATATCACTTTAAGTAGCCCAGCTCTAGAATCATTTACTTAGTCACCTAGTCCATAAAGTTTTAGGGAAGCAAGCTCAGGGAGTTCGTTAGACACTTTTCTATCCATTACAAGAAGCACATAAATATCCGCTCACACTAAAATGGGTAAGGATAATGCAACGAACTACATTTTAAATAACGTTGAACTGCTAAAAATGATTTTAGCTATTGTGTGTTTGATGCGGAACTGCATATCATACCTCCATTATTCAGAAATTATTAGTACGCGTCTTTTCTTCGGCTGCTGGCTTCAACTTGATTTCTGATGACCTCAGTTTTCGAGAATATAAGTAGCAGTTCACAGTGTCGTAGAGATATGGGCGTTTCTGAACGGGAGCGGAATGTCACGCACTTCATGTGCGGTGATACACTGTCGTATTTAGTGTTCTACCATAATATTGTGCCTGTCACAGAGCATTTCGGTAAATATGTTTTATCTCGCGATCATGAATCCCCGTTTTCCATTCATTTCTCAACGAACGCAGTATGCAAGTAATACCTACATGTTACAGTGTTTGGTTGATCCATATTATTGAGTCATGTCTTAGAAGTGGTCTCATATGGTTACACATTTATTAGATCTTGCCAAGTGAGTCCAACACACTGCCTTCACAAGGTAAGGTAGTGAATACGAAAATGAGAGGCCAAATTGTCTATGGCTTTCATTAGGTGTCATAATTCTCTTTTCAACTCCCGGGGCAGAGTTTAAATGTTTTAAATTGGTTATTCTGGCTAGCGTTTCCTAGAGGATGAGATTACTGTCCCCATGCCCAACCCTTCTCCTTTACCTGGGCTTGGGACCGGCAATAACTCTAGAAGATCTATAGGGGGAGTTATTAGGAAAATCAGCATCTATCAAATTCGCATCAGATCTCCAATTTGGTCTTGATTCATTCAACTCATTTTTACAAGTATTTCCATCAAAAATATGTGAATCATTAGGACAATTCATATCTGATAAAATAACATGAGGAATTTATAAGACGTTGATTCATTAGAAGCTTTGTCTCACATAGATTCTGAGTTTCATTTGATACAGTTGTATCCGTTGCGCTGCTCCAATTATTTCTTGAATACGAGTCTTCAACTTTCCTGACAAATATCGCATGAAATATTAGTTTGTTTCGTCCGGAGTTCGATTTCAGAGCAATACGAGGCTAAAAATTCTTCACATAATTACATAGGCAAATTTATAATTAAATCACTTAAGTGCAGGGCAAGGCGATGCAAAAGCTGACAATATGATTTGAGCACATGTATACATATGGGGGGAAATGAATCATTGAGTGATATTTAAACAATCAGCTTTTTAGCTAGTCTGTCATGTGACCGAGTGATCATAACGGTACAGAGAAATATGTAAATTGTTACTGTTCAAATATCATTGTCTATTAAGTGAGTAAATAAACAGCCATAACCAAAATTAACCATAGTCGCAATTAGTTGTGAAATAGTTGTATATAGTTCTCGAAATCTTCAGAATTTAAATGTTTATCCAACTATTCAATCACAGGCGTCACAGCGATGCCAATATGGTAGTTCAAAGAATTTGAATTATTGTACGAACAAGGAATCCTCCAAGTAATGTAATTTGAGTCAGATAGAACTAGGTCAATACAAACGAACGTTTTGTATTTCGAATTCGAAATCAACCAGGAAATCGAGCACAAAAGGAATATTAGTTCATACAAACACCACAAATGTTCATACGTGTGTGTTAATCTGCATATATTTTTAATTTTCTGTGTTTCTTACGCAACTCACAAGGATCGAATGCTGTTTTCTCTGCTTTTTGTATCCTATTTTATATTCTCATGCATGAAATACACTTATCCGGAATTTTATTTATTTATTTATATCCACATTATCACTAGAGTGATTATTTGAGAGCGAATATATTAAACTGTAAGAAATATCCCTGTTTATATGGCTGAAGTTATTTCTATGAAGTCGGTATCAAAATATTAAGCTAAGCACAGTCGAATCAGCTACTGAGCAAATAAGTAATACATTTGTACAAGAGGGTGCTATAGGGCCTGTCTTATTCACAATATACGTCAACAAGAAATAAGTGCTGATACCCCGACGAACATAAGGCTGTTAAGTATTGTTACAGGATTCAAACAGAAGACAATTTCTATGTCATTCATCTTAAATTGAACAGGGTCACTGAGGGTTTTTGTCACCTTATCCTTGTTTATCAACTTTAACTACACAAATGTCCTATTATTATGGAAGCGAGTGTTTAAATGAAAAGGTATGAGGACAAATATTGGTTTGATATGCTTGTAGTTTCATTGACTACAAAATTCTTGAACATCATATACACTGTTTTAAACGACGGTCAATACGTAAATAGAGGTCCCAAAGTAGATAAACTTCTCCTGACTGAAGGTGGCTATTATGTCACATATTACTCCCATTCTGATTTAAATGTGATTATGCGGTTGCATCTATTAGAGTATCAGTTCATTATGCATTAATATAGACGTCAAATTGAAATATAACAAACTGAATAGTAAAATAGAAATTTTTTGTTCAAATATTCGTAATGATTCACTTTATAAAGATGAATGTAACTATATTGCGTAGCATCCGTGTTTAGCAAATATCTTAAGTGGTAAACAAGCCACTAAAATAATCAGTTTTATAAATACTTGACCAATGATACCGGCACTGTTAACTATAATGAAGACTACTATCTGAAAGCTCTTTGTCAAGAATAATCTATAGCCTACAATATGACCCACTGTGAAACACTTCTATTCTCCTAGATAACCAACCTAGATGTCTGACATTGCTCTGGTTGTCTCTAAAATCATATATAAGTTCTGTCAAAACAGCCATCACTTACGTCCTTGCTCTCATCCGAAAGAAATCGTTGAAAAATACTTGAAAACATGATTTATTGTACTCTGTCTTACCGGTTGTATCTATAAACTTTCGATTTGAAAACAAAGGGGTTAGGGATGATTGACTAAACATTAACGTTTGAGGCGTCTACAGTGATACTGTCGTATAAACATTTGATGGGTGATTTTTCTCATATGATAGTTTTGATACGATTGTACATTTCAGTAAGGTGAAACGCAATACAAAAACATGGATCATGCTACATTCATACCACCATCAGGTGACATATATTGTGAATCTGTATTATTACCACTCTGAATTACAATGGTTGATGAGTATAGCTGACTAAGTGAGGTTGGATATAGGCTAGTAGTAGAATCGAATACTCGTGTTTTAACCTATTTGGAACTCATAACATAGATTCACATGCATGTATTTACAAAGAGACTAGAATTAAGAGACTTTTACTTCAGATAGTTATGCCTTAACTATTGAGTTACTGAGTTAAGATTGTCATCAGTTTGCCTAACGGGTATAAAATGTTTTTGTAAATGTTGAAAATCTCTGATTAGTTCCACTTATTAATTACTGACTGGCACTGGGATGTCTCATCAGCCCTTGTGGTCTGGTGTGTGATGAAATCTCAGCACGGATACAGAAGGCTCGACTAGCTTTTGCCAACTTGCCTCATCTATGGCGTAGGCGAGATATCCGTGTATCAACCAAAGAAAGTGGTTACTGCGCAACAGTTCGTTCCGTCCTACTTTATGGCAGTGAAACATGGCCGGCAAGAGTAAAGGATATCCGTATGCTACTAATATTTGATCATAGGTTTGTTTTCCTAATAACTGAGTTACTCACTTGGGGACACCGAGTAAGTAACTCAGTTGTTAGGAAACGGATGCTAGGTAAGGATGGCAAATCAATTGATGAAGTAGTAAAACTTAATCAGTTGAGATGGCTAGGACATGTGTTGCGCATGCCTGACCACCGACTGCCCCGACACGCGATGTTTTATGGTGTAGCAATAAGTCGGAAGAAAGCTAGGAGCAGCCAGATCAAAACATGGCACAAATCCATGAAGCCACTGACCAGTAGACTGAGCCATGTCGGTAGATGTAGGCTAGCTTATTGGGATCCGCGAGACGATATCAACCGATGGTTAGAGACCTTGAATCATATGGCTCAAAATCACTTGCAATAGCGCAGGTGTATCCACTCTTTGTGTCCTCCCGAATTCTTTTCTTTTTCTCTTTCCAAATTTATTTCACAGTATTATACTTTTTGAATAACATCATCAAACCCTTATCTTTGCGATTACTGCTTATACTCTTACTACTTCTACCACTGCGGGATTTGGATCGATAACTGCATCTCTGTGCTAATGTGGTATGGTAACTCGAACTGATGTACGTACGTACGAAGTTCTGCGTTGTTACTAACTGACTGAGTTGTTAATTGCAACAGAAGGAAAATACAAACCCATGTGAAATAAAATTAATTTATTTAAAAGCTTTTACATTATTGAAATCAATTCGTTGAATTTTTGTAGTAAAATGTTTCTAAAAAAGAGAATATTTTATGCAAAACCATCAAAATATAAAATAATGTTCTGTTTTCATTCAGATCCATGAACATACCCTTTGATCACTGGATGCTGAATATAAATATCCTGATTCATAATCTAATACAATTGATTGAACTGAATCATCATGTCCTTGTAATGTAGATATCTAGATAATTTCCAAAATGAATGAATAATATATAGATATATAGGATTACACTCAAATGGATATAATGAACTTATTCATCTTGCTCAACTATTATTCTGATGAAGTTCTGTTCTCTCAGTAGGATGATTTAGTCGTAAAGCTTTCATTGTTCTTCTGAACGATATCCTCAGCACATATTTCAGGTAAAAGTGAAGTGTTCGAATTTCTCCACATATGATTCACAGTTTGTCCTGTAGACCTTAATGTTGATTGATTCTTGTTGACATTAAGCCTGTCATTGTTTACTCCTTTGTTTTAGTTATATCTCTTCATAGGTTTGATTTTAGTTTGTGATGTTGTCCCCCAGAAGAACGATGAAAGATCTACGACTAAACTATCCAGCTCAAAGAACAAAACTTCATCAAAATCATCCACGTGAGCTACAAATCTTTTCCACCATCTTAACTACTATTCCCAACCTACTATAAGGTTGAGTGATATAGTTTAACTGATTAAGGTATGTATCACTACGTTAAAGATGTTCCACTCGATGACTATCTATTCTGCCACACATTAAGTTGGCTGTCTGGATTATCCGTTTAATTATTACAGTCAAAATAAAGACATATCGAGTTCAATTATTGAGCTCAAGATTCACTGATTACTTCATGATCAAAATCTTGACAACTAATAAAATAGGGTTTTGTGCAATTTCATGAACTTTGCCTTCATATAATACATTCAGAATTAATAGATATCAGGTGATAAAAACCATCTAGGCGAGACTCTAATTGATGGACGAGCTAATCAGAAGCGTTTTAGAGATTTCAAGGTTACGGTGCCAACTTCAGTGCTTAATACTAACGTACGATCGGTTGACAAGGAATTTTGTACAAAACGTGATAATTGAGAGGCTATAACAAAAATAAAACGGCGAGACTATAATTTGTGAACGAATCAATCAGGTATAAGATAATAGATCTCGGATTTTAACGCAAAAGACCTTCATCTATTTGGCTGAATAGATTTCTGGCATTATAACTTATGTCCGTTCGTGATGAAAACCTCATATATAATTCCCAAATAAGGCAAATTATGACAATTATCGAGAACTGGATAGTTAAAACACCTGTAACACTGGCTACAGCCAGGTACTACAATATATATACGGATGATGATTAGAGAGTGTACAGACTCCTACATAGGTTTGGTTATGCGAATCGTGTCATCATCCACAAGTGGCACTTTGTGTACTCAACAACTGGAGTGCACATAAACTATGTGGTCGAGGCTGAAAGAGTTTTCGACACTTTATCATGGCTCCAGAGATCAACTATTCCGTAGCCATATGGATGATTTCCTCTACTGCATGTATTACGATTTTAAAACCTCTGCACCTCTTTCTAACCTTAACAAATTTTTGAACTACGTAGAAGAAATGTATCCACTGTATTTCGATGGTTTTGTATAATATATTATTACTCTATTCTAACTGTTTGCTGATTGGCTAATATTTCTCAAGGTCACTTAAGAGTCGTTCAAAGGTCATCATCATCCATAAATTAGAGTCTCGCCAAAAATTTGTTTTGTCAAACTGTATATAAGTGACACATGATAAAGTTATTATCAAATGAATTTAGTGACAACATACTTGACTAGTTGATATTTCTATACAATAAATTTTAGAATCATCACAACCAGCAACAATATATTCATTATTTAAATCAATCACTAATTGATTAATTCCTAGTTTATTTCGTTGTTCTGATAATTTATGTTGTATATGTGTAAGATTTGGACGATGATTTAAATGTTGACGATGTAGATGTTGATGATGATTGATACGATCAAATTTACGAGTTTTATTCAAATCATAACAAGTTGGTAAACAATTCACCTCCATATTATTATTATTATTATTATTATTATTATTATTATTATTATTATTATTATTATTATTACTGTGCATTTTCATTTTTATAGTAGGTAAATTGGTTTCAAATGAGAAATTATTGATTTTACGAAGATCCCATAATCGAATAAAACCACCACTGTCACATGATATCACGTTGGTACCTTGTTGATTAAATATAGCACAATTGATTGAATGGGTATGACCAAGAAATGTATGCTCACATAAACCCTATTATGTTATACGGAAGGAAGAAAAACACACTGAGATAATATCAGTATTGATTATTGTTTGAATAGTATCTATCTAATCATAATGAATATCTCCCCTTTTCAAATGTTTGTATATTTGAAAAAAAAGAAGGGGTGTTTAGTTTCTAAGTTGTTATCTGGAAAACGTTGATTGATATATTACTTGCTTACTTATGCCAGTTACCTTCAATGGAGCATAGGCCTCTGACAAGCATTCTCCAACCCACTCTCTCCTAGGTATTTGTTTCTAGTTCTATCAAATTTTTGTTGATTCTTTTCATGTCTGTCTCCATTTCTCCTCCTAGAGCCCCTCCTGGGCTACTACTGGTCCCAAGCCCGGATAACAAAGGAGGCTTGGGTATGAGGTTAGAGTGACCCCATCTGGTAGAAAACTAACTCGCTAAAAAAACACTTACCAGAAGAAAATAATTCAAACCATTTAAACTCTGCCCTAGGTGTTTGAAGGTCTTCATTTAAAATACTTCAGATCCGCTGGCCGGACACTATAAGCAACAACCTACTGCGGGAGAGAACAAATCAGATCCCAGTGGAGGAAGAAATCAGGAAGAAGCGCTGGAAGTGGATAGGACACACATTGAGGAAAGCACCGAACTGCGTCACAAGACAAGCCCTCATATGGATTACTCAAGGTCGAAGGAGAGGAAGACCAAAGAATACGTTACGCCCGGAAGTGGAGATAGATATGAGAAAAATGAACAAGAGTTGGATGGAACTAGAAAAGAAGGCCCAGGACAGAGTGGGTTGGAGAATGCTTGTCGGCGGCCTATGCTCCATTGGGAGTAACAGGCGTAAGTATGTAAGTAAGTAAGTATAATTGATACATATTTCTTATATATTGTTATTTTTGTGATATTGTTGTATGTAAGCTGAATATTTTAATATTGAATCTTTGATTTTCTTTTCTCAGTAAAAACAAACTCTGAAAAGTATTCAATTCAAAGAATTTCACCACAACCTATTGCGTTGAAGGCATTGAATGATTTGCTGAAGTATAACGCAAAGTTCACAGAAACGAAAACATAGTTTCTTGATTGAGATCATGAACCGATTGATGTTAGATCACCATTGAAAACCTGAAAGCACTGGACGGCTGTTTTGTCCTATCGTGGAACTCCTCAGCACTACGCATCCACGAACCTATGGCTCGACCACTGAGCCGGCATCAGACGGTGTTAATTTCGAACCTCAACTAATTCACGAAATTGCGCGACCATCTTCCATTTTACTGAGGTAGACTCCTGTTTCTACCCGACACGGTAGGTTGGGCGTTCGCGTGCCAGACTGAGAGCCCTGGGGTCGAATCCTGCGTGGGAGAGTGGATGCGCACTGCTGAGGAGTCCTAAAATAGGACGAAACGGCCATCCAATTCTTCCAGGTTTTCAATGGTGGTCTAACATCAATCGGTTCATGATCTCAATCAAAAACTTGACAATCTCCACAACCCCTAAACTGATGAAAACATAATTGGCTAATAATTTGTTTTGTAGGTGTAAACTTAGATTAATTGCTCTCAATAACTTTGATTGACTATTCTTTTCCCTAACTTGACCTTTGAACCTATGGTTTTATATTAGTACAGTTGTCCACTGATTAATTCAATTTACTTTATTATCAGGGGGGATAACCTGTAATTCGAAGTTTTTATCTAAACAGACAATGATAGTCGATAAACCTATGTTATGATATCTAAGGACTGTAGCAAGCAGTGAAATCCAAGACAAAATTTTCATCTTATTTAGAATTCATCAATTATGTGCACACCCATCATTCTGTTAGTACTTACTATAAAAGTCAACTGAGATGTAATAACATTTAGCTAATAAATAAAAAGCAAGATCATATCCCCGTCTCGGATATGATTGTTAGCTATAATCCAGACATCTATTAAAGACTTATAAAGACAGGGAATATCAAGACATAGTCTTAGAGAGACTATATGCGAACAGGGACATGTTGTTTTTCTTCAGTTCTGAACAAGGATATATCAGTTCATAAACTTATAGATTTTAGTCAAACATCTTTATCTGTATGAAATGTTGAATAGACAACAATGAAATAGATCGAATGTTGTCGTAAACCATGATTGACTCTGGAATTATAAATAATAATGTTGCGATGCTCACACTATAAATGATACTATGATGAATAGTGGCTAGCAGTGAAATCCAGGATGCACGTTTTGTTCTATTTAGGACTCGTCAGCTATCCATCTTTGCTTAGAAAGCTTGTGACTTAAGGCTATTTAGAGGCAATCCGTACAGGATGCATATATGTCAACATGAGACTGATCAATTGTAGTCCTAAATAACAATGCGAAGATACATGTAAAACAACATTAAGTGAATTTATAAGTGATACTCTTTAAAATGTTGTTTTCATATTTGACTTGATAATGAGATTAGAATTAAAACCTAAAGAGGAATCCTGACATATATCAATCATTGTTCAACTGTTTTCTTCTGATTATGCAAAATATAAAAAAAAAACAATAATATCATACCAAAGTGTTTTGATCACTTTAAGTATGGATTCTGTGTATTGTGTGTTTTCATAAGTATACAAACAATTGATGTTAAATGATTCAATAGTATCATAAATATACACTTATGATTTTAGTGGAGTTTTGTTCTCTAATCTGGATGGCTTAGTTATGAAGGTTTCATCGTTCTTCTGAACAATATCATCAGTACAAACTTCAAGTAGAAGTGAAGTATTCGAATTTCTCCATATGTGGTTCAAAGCTTATCCTATAGACCTCGATCTTGATTAGTTATTGTTGTTCAAGAGAACGATGAAACTTTCATCACTAAACTATCTAGCTCAGAGAAGAAAACTTCAATAAAATCATCCACCTGAGCTACAAATCTTCTCTACCATCTTAATATGTAATTTAGTAAAAGTTAACGAAACAATGTTACTTACCGAACGACCATCCCATAAACATACTGTTTTATCTGATGAACCAGTAACTAAAATATTTCCATAAGGCAAAAATTGAATAGAATTCACTGATTTACTATGCCCTCTAAGTATTGTACAACATGATGTTGAAGAACGTGTACTTAATAAATCTTTATTCATTTTAAATGACATGATAGCATGTTCAACATTCCATAGACGTATTGTATTGTCCATACCACAACTAGCTAAATACGTACCAGTCCAATGCCAATTCACAGACCAAACAGCTCCTGTATGTTGACGTAATATACCAATACGTTTACAATGATTCTGTTCTGATATCTTGTCATCGATAAGGTCAATTTTCCATATCTGAAATAGAATTTAACATTTATGAATATATATGCTGGTGGGCGGCCTATACTCCTCCATGAGGTGTAACAGGTGTAATATATATATATATATATATATATATATATATATATATATATATATATATATATATATATATATATATATATATATATATATATATATATATATATATATACCAAAGAACACATTACGTCGGGAAATGGAGACAGACATGAGAAAAATGAACAAGAATTGAATAGAACTAGAAAAGAAGGCTCGGGACAGAGTGGGTTGGAGAGTGCTGGTTGGCGCGACTATGCTCCATTAGGAGTAACAGGCGTAAGTAAGTTATATATGTATATATATAGTCAGTTTTGAGATCACGTGGGTAACGTTTCGATTAATCGTACTTAAAATAGGCCTTATTGTGTACATACATATAAATCGTTGAATAATTGAAATAATTTTTTTTCTGGCTAACGTTTTTTAGCGAGTTAGTTTTCTACAGGATAGGATTGCTAACCCCGGGCTTGGGACCGGCAGTAGCCCCAGAGGGCCTCCAGGCGGAGTGTGTGCAATTGCGTTGCCTATTAGTTTTTTCCTTTTAACCTTTGACCGCACTAATATTCTCTGGCACAAAACATTGTAAATATTCCATTTAATGACAATAAAAACAGTGAACAATTAGGTTTCAAATCATTCACTGGATTCCTTTCAAATAGACTTCAATAACGCTGATAAACAATACTTTGATTTGACTATTTTACATCTAGTTAATCTGTATATCTCTCACTGTGTTGGTGTGTACTATTTGCTAACTAGAATTGTGTTTCAGGACTAATGATATTAAAAACAAATAATATCCATAATCTATTTGGAGTTAAAAGGGGTTTTTTATAAGGGAGTTTCGACATATTGAATTTAAGGTTGAACAATAAAACTCTTCTTTTGTTTTGGGAAACTAAAGAAGTTATATCACCAGATTCTTATGAGGATTAAGCTACCATGACAACAACCACCATCAAGAAGGTACAAGTATTTATCAATAGCTGTCTACCAAAGATACTCAACATCCATTGGCCGAATACCATCAGCAACAGCCTTTTATGGGAGAGAACCAACCGGCATCCAGCTGAAGAGGAAATAAGTAAAAGACGATGGAAATGGATAGAACATACATTGAGGAAATCATCAAACTGTATCACGAGGCAAGCGCTAACTTGGAATCCTGAAGGGAAGCGGAAAAGAGGAAGTCCAAAGAACACATTACGTCGGGAAAAAGAATCAGATATGAAAAGTATGAATAACAACTGGAAAGAGCTGGAAAGCATTGTCCAGGATAGAGTTAGATGGAGAATGATGGTTGGCGGCCTATGCTCCTCCACGAGGAGTAACAGGCGTAAGTAAGTAAGTATGACAGTTCATGATTATATCATTTAACGAGTATTATAAATATTGAAATGATAGTAAAAACATTTCGCTTAAATAATAAGGGTTTAGTATGGAAGAGTTTTTCCGTAACATTTTTATTTACCCTATAGACAACATGATCAATAAAACAGAAATCTTAAAGTAGATGATAAATTTTTTCCGAAAACTTTCTTAATCATCACTATATTATTTATTTAAACACATTGGTTGAAGTTAGACATGAACATCGTTGGATGCAGGCTAGCTTAGTAGTCTAGAGTCTGGGCGTTTGCGCGCGTAGAACGATAGATCCTGTAACTGAGTCATGCGTGCACCGACGTGGACGCGCACTGCTGAGGAGTTCCATACTGGGACGAATCAGTGATCCAGTGAATCCAGGTTCTCCATGGTGGTATAGCTTCAGTTAATTCGTGGATTCAATTATTAAACTACTGAAATCTCCACAAAATCCCCTTCTGATAATAATCGTTCTTTGTCAATATATTAAGTTTACATAATCTTCTGTTTATCATCGTAACTAGAACATCACCTCTCCCCCCCCCAAACACCTTACGTTACACTGTTATGTCCAATTCTTCACATCATAACGATTTCTTTTGGTTATGTTTCTAGCACTCATATAAAGTACACTAATTATGTAAAACATTTGTTTATAAGTATATTAATAGTTGTATAATCAAGCTGCTTGCAGCTGATGAGACGTAGTGAATTTATAGTGAATTCATTTTATTCTGAAAAAGTGATTGTTTTGGCTCCGTTTAAATTTACCAAAGGTTCTGGTTACATAAGAATAATTTCTGTTTTTTCTAATTAAATCGAGAAACTAGTTTATTTAGATTTTACAGTGTGTTAAATCTATCGAAATGTCGAACTACATGATTGAGATATAGGCGCCAAATCGAAGTTCACAAAACAACCATTTGTTTTTTTTTCAGAAAGCGGTTCTCAACTTGTGAAGTATCTATGGTGCCTAGCACGTCTGTAAGTTTGAAATAAAAATGGGTTCCGATAGTGCAAATGACAACTGTTAGTGGTGTCTAATCTTGATAACAGTGTATCAACAAGTAAAAACAGAACAATATGGGAACCGTTGAATTTAAACAAGGAATAAACAATTGTATGAAATTACCAACAACTGCTACAAGGATTGAGCGAAAGTGATTATAATGATAAATACAATAAATGTTATCGGTATATGTAAATATCTCAAAATGTTACACGACAAACTTGCTTTACAATATACGCCTAGACATTTCTAGGGATACAGCTATTTACTGAATATTAATAAGTAGTATAAAACAATACACAAAAGAATTGAAGGGAATTAAATAAGGACAGAGAACGTAAACAAACATAACAGTGTTGATTTATCAATTATCTTATAGACCTCACTTAAGCAATGAACAGTTTTCGGCATCTTAAAAGTCAACCACTTCATAGACTTATGTAATAGTACATTTTGTTCACATCTAGCCTTCTACCATCCTGCTTATTAACTAGCCAAGATTATATATTGAGATGAACTATTGTTTAGAATATGTAACATGTATCCCAGACAATTCAGTCGGCGAAAATTCATGGGTTCACTAACTGACTTGGTAAAATCAAACAACCATCAAGCGATGTTTCATCCTGAATAAAAACCCATACGAAACATATAATCACTCGTCTACAGAAACGTCCAGTCATATTACTAAACTGAAAATGATTCAAAGCATCTACAAATTTTAGCCTGTGTTATTTGTCACTACTGTACCATGGATCATTTCACATTGACTACAATCTTGGTGAGATTATAAGCAGAGATTATGGTAATCCGTACATAATGCCTATATGCCAATAAGAGACTGATCAATTGCTGTCTTAAATATCAACGAGAAGATTCAAACAACCAATACAAAAAGTACATAATTCTATTGATTTTGATAAAAAGCATTTCTATTAACATGCAACAGACTACTAACTAATTATTCAACATTGAAACTTAGTCATCTTCGATATCATGCTCTTAAACTTATCAACCCACTCTATTCAGCATGAGGGTCGATACATATTACTAACTGGTGATAAGTTCATTATCATATAAAGGCTATTGAACAGATATAGATGGTGCCTGAAGTGGGATCTAGCACGCTCGATTAATCAGATTTGGAAATCATCAACTTATGAATTAAGGTGCTATAGAAGTAGTCTATACAAGATACTCATATGCCAATAGAGATTGATTACTTACAGTCGATCATGGAACGATTCAAACAACCGATACAGATGATGTATTGAAGTTTTGTGGAGATTGTTGTAATTTCAATGGTCGAGATTATGAGTAAATTGAATCTAGAACACTATGGGAAACCTGAAAGCGCTGGAAGGCCGTTTCGTCCCATTGTGGGACTCCTCAGCAGCGCGCACCCACGACCTCGCCCCCTGCGAGACTCGAACCTAGGACCTACTGGTTTCGCGCACGAGCACTTAATCACTAGACCACTGAGCTGGTCGGCATCCAACGGTGTCAATATCCAACTTCAACTAATCCACGAAATTGACTCATGATCTCAACCATTGAAATTATTACAATCTCCACAAAACCCCTTCTGACTGGCTTCAAGAGGTATATCCTGGAGTTCTAATGAGAAGCAGTGACCAGTGGAGTTCAACCAGGTCTGTTGTGAGATAATAACTCACTGATGACAATGGTGGATGTATCTCTCAATTTTGTGGATTAGTTGAATTTAGATATTAATACATTTGGATGCGGGCGAGCTCAGTTATCTAGTGATTGAGTGCTCGTGCGCGAAACCAGTAGGTCCTAGGTTCGAGGTTCGAGTCTCGCAGGGGGCGAGGTCGTGGGTGCGCGCTGCTGAGGAGTCCCAAGATAGGACGAAACGGCCGTCCAGTGCTTCCAGGTTTTTCATGGTGGTTTAGCTCCTATTGACCCATGATCTTAACCATCTATTTCAAAACAAAAAACTCACATGAATAGAACCTTGAGCATTTCCTGTTGCTAAGATCTCCTCTTTTGGATGAAAATCAATTGATGATATCCAATCATTTGTTATTAATTTATATTCCATTAATAATTCTAATTTAGGAATTTTCCACAATTTCCATAATTTATCATCACCAACTGAACATAACCATGATTTATTTGAATGAATAGCTAATCTAAAGTACGTAGATACAAAAAGTGTTTAGTATTTAAAATGAAAGAAAGTAAATTTATTTTATTTATTTATTTGAACACATAAATATTGGTACAAAAGGGTACCGAATACATATGCGCCAAATAAGTCAATTGATCTCTGTGTAGGCTGGTATACTGCTCGGATGCCTAGACCGAATTAGATAGTTTGCTTACACGGTTATATCCGAAGCCTTCTATACCTAAAGATTTGATACGCAAGACAGTGGGGCAACGTAAGGAGATACAGTCCCATGGTAGCCGGTGATCAGTGATTGTTTCATACGGCATTTGTCCCATCAGGATTCTGAAGCCCACGTACATCATTGGTTTGGAAACAGGGTTTTCCAACTCCCCTAGGTAGATCCTTCATATCCATCAACATGGTTAAACCACCGGATATTAACTTTTGGTCCTCTCAATCTCTCAAACAATAGTAATTCAGCAGGAAGGCAGTGAGTAGGACTTCCGTGACAGTGGCTGTATACTTGTGACCATTCGAGAGCATTTAGAGAAGGAGATTAGGCTCTTCCAACCGTCGTCCATACCAGGTTATTTGAACAAAGATAGATAAAGTTAAAATTTATCTGAGATCTTCTGTACACTATGTTGAAGTGTCCCCCCTCATTATTTCCAAATCTAATTCCTTTACGTTTTGAATAGGATATGATAAGAATCTAATCGAATAAATCTACATTATTATACTTAAATCACCGTTATTGTTTTTTCTTTTCTTTTGAAGTTTATTCACGGTTATATGTATATAGAGAGATATACAATGTGATCGTAAACCGAGACACTTTCCAGTAGTACTTATCCATCATTGTATATGGGATCGAATGTAAAACCCAATTTTAATGACTAGTATTAAAGATTTCAATCATTGAGTAAGTTGTTCGATGGTTCTCTGATAATTACATGAATAAATATTCTTTTCGTTAAAACATCAGTAAATTATACTGATTTCAATGAGATTATCATCATGTTTTTGTCTAACATAAGTGATTGTGTGAGGAAAATTACAATGCATTTGCCACCAATCAACTTGTCAACGAAAGTGTGGACATTTCCTTCCAATAGTTTGGAATTAAAAGCATGGAATGCATACGGAGTTCCATTCTTCACCCGTAGTCGATATGTAGTGAACGAGAACACAAGTGGGTATAATCGAATGTATTCGAATCGTAAAATATAAAATCTCTTTGTAAAATCTGAGAACCATACAAGAATTTTTTTTCATTTGTAAAATGTCAATCAATTGTCTCAAACTTGACTATTTCTGTTGTAAAATATCAATCAATCGTTTTAGAGTTGATTGTTCCTTCGTTTCCACATCAATCATTCTCTGTTCTCGTTGTCTTTTCCTCGATCTTCTTAATCATCTGCCACCAGATATTTCGCTTTCTGTCGATGATACATACTACTTACATCTGTCGACATCAGTAATACACACCATAGATAGTGATCATGTACTACATAAAATGATTTGCAGATAGAATGGTCTACTAAATACTTCGAATGTTTCACAATGAAGCCTAATCTTATCTTTTACATGAATAGGAATTTATAAGGAATCGAGTCAACAGATCTAGTCTTTTTATTCAATAGAAACTTGTAAGACGTTTTTCTTTTACTTAACCACAATTGTATAAATCCTTTCAATTCCATTTTCTATTTCTGTTAATTCTTTTCACAGATTTTCTTTATTACTTGCAAATATATAAAAGAAATTATAAAGTTTATCAGTAATAAATATAATAAGACCATTATGATTTCATTCTGGTTAGCGTTTTTTTAGCGAGTTAGTTTTCTACGGGATGGGGTCGCCAACCCCATGCCCAACCCTCCTCCTTTATCCGGGCTTGGGACCGGCAGTAGCCCCCGGAAAGGGGCTCCAGGCGGAGTTCTACTGTATGGCGCGGAAACCTGGAAAACTACGAAATCCATCGTCCAAAAGATACAGGTGTTTATTAACAGTTGTCTACGCAAAATACTTCAGATCCGTTGGCCGGACACTATAAGCAACAACCTACTGTGGGAGAGAACAAATCAGATCCCATTGGAGGAAGAAATCAGGAAGAAGCGCTGGAAGTGGATAGGACACACATTGAGGAAAACACCCAACTGCGTCACAAGACAAGCCCTCATATGGAATCCTCAAGGTCGAAGGAGGAGAGGAAGACCAAAGAATACATTACGCCGGGAAATGGAGATAGACATGAGAAAAATGAACAAGAATTGGATGGAACTAGAAAAGAAGGCCCAGGACAGAGTGGGTTGGAGAATGCTGGTCGGCAGCCTATGCTCCATTGGGAGTAACAGGCGTAAGTAAGTAAGTAAGTATTATGATTTCAAAATACATTTGTTAACGTTGATCATTATGATTCAACTTCACATTTACAGAACTGACTTAATCTTTTACAACATAGTTCAATGAAACAACTAATCATTCATTGCTTTTAAATTATACAAACTTAAATTGTATATACTGATTTCATATGTGCTGAATTGTAGTAATACACAATTAATCTAGATCCTACATTAATCTATTGATCGATAAAATGATCTGGATCCAATTTGAAAGAATACCTTAAATGAACAAAGTTTCAATTATGATGAGAATTTGTTTATATCTAAATAATTAACCGGTGAGACTATAATATATGGACGAACCAATCAATCAACTAAGGTATTCTTTCAAATTGGATTCAGATCATTTTATCGATCAATAGATCAATGTGGGATCTAGATTAAATGTTTATTACTGCAGTTCAGCACATATGAAAATTAGTATAGAGTTCACATTTGTATAATTTAAAAGCAATGGATGATTAGTTGGTTCATTGAATTATGTTGTAAAAGACTAAGTCAGTCCTGTGAATGTTAAGTTGAATCTCAATGATCTATGGTGAAACTATAATATATGGATGAACCAATCAGATTTAAGATAACAGATTTTGGCGCGTAATTCATTCATCCATTTGGATTAATAGAGTTTTAACATTTGAGCTGATGTCAATTTGTGATGAAAACCCAAAATTTAATTTCTAACCTTAATCATCAACTGTAAATCATAATTCTATTTCCTCATACTAGTTGATAAGCCTCATTTGATCCTGGTTATTAAGTGGACACATTCAAGATTAGTCTAATGTCACGCAAAGGTTATCCATAAATTGTATATAGTTTCATCAAATGTATGTTTATCAGTATTAAGGTTGTGGAGATTATTAAATTTTTGATTGAGATCATGAATCGACTGATGTTAGACCACCGTTGGAAACCTAGAAGAACTGGATGGCCCTTTCGTCCTATTGTGGGACTCTTCAGCAGTGCGCATCCACGATCCCGCTCGCGGGATTCGAACCCAAGGCCTTCAGTCTTCCGCGCGAACGCTTAACCTACTGGATCACTGAGCCGGCATCTAATGGTGTTAGTTTCTAACTTCAACCAATCCACTGCTGAGGAGTCCCATACTAGGACGAAACGGCCATCCAGTGCTTCCAGGTTTCCAACGGTGGTCTAAAATCAGTCGATTCATGATCTCAATTAAAAAATGTATGTTTATTAATATAAAATAAAGTAAATTAAAAGTTATATTGATAGAAAGTTTACTTGCTAATAGCTGCATTATGAGCACGTATACTCATATCTAATTTTCTATTATCTAATCTTGTAAATTTATATGAATGATTTGTTAGTTTTGCCAATAATGGATTCACTTTATAATCTGTAGATAAATCACAAAATCCAATCTAATGAAATAAAACAAAGAAAAGAAAAAGAAAAAGAAAATTAGGGTATAATGATCATAGAATATAATAATACTAATGGTTTATTGTATCATTACTTTTGTTCCATCAAGGTACTTAGTAACTATGTGGTTACGTCACAGAATTGAACTGTACTATTCAGATTGTAGCGTTAAAGCCTATATAGTGTGTGGTTCTCCTGTAAACCGAGATTGAACTGTATTGTTTGAATTATCAAGTGAAAGTTTGGATGGTGTTTTATTCTTCTGAAAATTAGTGTAATATTACCTTGGCCCACAAGGGTATATTATTATAACTAATTATGAACTGTGTATCATTACTTTGAATAGAAGTTTAATGTGTTTGTTGTTCATTTTTAATAGTTGAATTCATGAGTCAATTAAAACTAGACCTCTATGGAGAACATGAAAGCACTGGATGATTTTTTCGTCCCAGTTTTGGACTCCTCAGCGATGCACATCCACCATACCGTTCGCGAGATCCGAATCCAGGACACATCGGTTACATGCTCAAACTTCTAACCTCCAGACCATTGAGTTGGACGGTACCCAACGGTGTTAATTTCTAACTTCAACTAATCCACAGTACTGCACCACTGTCCACCATTTTCTCCAGTGAGTTAATATCTCACAAAAGACACGGTTTAACTCCACTGATCACGGTTTCTCAATCAGAACTCCAGAAAACTATCTTAAAGCCAGTCATTAGTGAGCACATGATGATCGTGGATGCACACTGCTGAGGAATTCAATACTAGGACGAAACGACTATCCAATACTTCCAGGTTTTTCTTGGTGGTCTAACTTTATTTGACTCATACATTCCATTATTATATTGTTAATTACCCAAAAATTTTAGAGTTGTAAAGTTTTAATAAGAAAAAGAATAGAAGAGATGACAAACAGTATGCAGACAAATCAATGAACAGAATGAATGATACACATTAAGTTAATTTAACTTGTCGATATGTTATAATGAAACTCATCATCAGTGCTCACCTACGGTTCCGTTTATGCGATCCAAACTCAGGATCTATATGGTTGCATAGTTTATTGATGCATTAAAAATGAAAATTAATTTATTTCAAATATCCTTTATAAACAAGTATTTAAAAGGATTTCATCAGGAGTATTGTAAAACAGAACGACATTCTATCTAAGTTATCTTTTCAAATCTTGAGTGACGTTGGTAGAAATACTTAAAAAAATGTAAACAATAATGAATGATTTTCAAGATAGAAATTCTAGTAATTTGATTCAGGTTGTTATTCACTTGATTGTTTGGGTTAATAACTCATATTTTTATTGATTAGTTTACATGTTACACTATGGTACTATACATTGAATGTATTCAGTGTTTCCATTGATAATAGAAGTAAATAGTCATACAATTTTCAAGTTGTCATTAGTTATTCTATAGATCAAGTAACAAATTAACCACTTATTTGAATGACTATATCCAGTAGACCAGGTTTTGTACTCAATGTTCTCACTTCAAATGAATCTCTCAGTACACACATATCTAGTTGGTTAGTCAGTTACAATATAGGACCAGGAACATATATGCATCGGTCCAAGTTGGCACACCACATTAAGACAACAAGATGAACACCAAATTCATAGAGGTAATCAATTCAAAGGTGGTAATATATAAAAGAAAAATTGTGTTTAAAGGTAAAATAGTACAGGAAGAAAGAATTAGTTCGTAGAAAGAAAGATATAAAGCAATTTTTTCTCACGGTTTAAGGGAAGACAGAGAGTGTATACACTTACTCCATTGTGATCGATTATGAGCCATGTCAGCCAGAGTCTCCAACTATTAGTTATGATAGTCACGCGGACCCCAACCAGGTAGTCAGTATCTACCATCATGGCTCAGACCAGCATCAAACACTGATGCCACATTTTGGTTTGGCCGCCCCTAACTTTCTTCCAACCGCCTCCGACATTAGTCAGCATTGCGCGTCGTGGTAATCGGTGTTCAGGCATACACAACAGGTGGCCCAACCATCTCAGTCGATGAAGATTTACAACCTCATCAACTGATTTAACATAATTTCCAAGTACCCTGAGTCTAAACTTACTATTACTTACCCGGTGATCCCAGAAGATGCGAGCAATATTTCTAAAGCATCTGTTATCAAATACTAGTAACTTACAAGTATCCTGTACTCTTAATGACCACGTTTCTCAGCCGTAAATTAGAACGGAACGAACTGCCGTGCAGTATACTTGTTGTTTAATTTATAGATGGATATCTCGCCTTCGCCATAGGTGACGCTTATCTAGTACTATATGAAAGAAAACAAAGTATAGTTTCATTCAATTTAATGACATATAGTCTACGCAACATGTTGGTTGTAGTTTTCAGAACCCATGTAAATTGATGAAAGGTGTACATTGAAAACTTCTAGAAAATCAGGAGGATGATCTATATACATCTGTGATATCTTAGAAATTAACATGTAAAAAAGCTTTATTTACTTCATTAACTACAATTAACTACATTTCAATAAATAAAGAAACATATTGTGGTGGTCGGTGTTCGATATATTCCTTAAACTCCGTATACAGTACGTCTCGGTAACCGTCACCAAATAATGCTCCAACGGTATATTAATCAGAAGGCGAATACGAAGCGTTAATTACGTTTATTAAGGGACCACACACAGATATCCAAAATTACAGATGCGTTAAGCAAGCATGAAATAGTTATGCCGAAAGGCAAACAGGCAAGCGAGCGAGCGAGAGAGAGCAAGGGCAAGAGCGAGCGATCGAGCGAGCGAGTCATGAATATGAATAACATGGACATATATATACATAGTGAAATGAGTGAATCATCGAGTCCATTAAGCGGTTAATAGTAAAGCTAGTAGCGTGAATAAATGCGTAGGCAGTAAGGCTTGCCGAGCATACATATTCATACAAGGATAACAATAATAAAGGTACATACATTCGCAACAGTAATAAGGATACAATGAGTTATTATAGTGCAGGTGACTTTGTCCGTTTAATAAGTTAATAAAAGGGCTTAACCGAATAGATGAGAGCAAACTCAATTGAATGTGAGTTGCTATAATATGTTATACACGACAATTCACAACATTACTGAATATTGTAACTGTAATTGACTCACGAGTAAACAAAGAAACTAATAAGTTGTCCAGACTAATAACTTTTGACTGTCAAACTAAGTTTCATTAGAAGGTTTAAAGGCTCAGATTTAATCCATACAATAAAATTGAAATCACTTGGATACCATAAATGACATAAGTTTATATCGTTTTCAGCGGTATATATATATATACATATAACTTTATACTTTACTTTTCTTCAAATCTTTAGTTTTATATTGATAAAACAATCAAAGGATGAACTGGATGATGTATTTGTGTTATACATTCTGAATTATCTGATTATATATATACTTGTCAAGGTACCTATAAATAGATTTTCGCGATACTTAGTCTACCGTGATCCTCTTCAAGTTATTTTACGGATTAGAATGCTGTGAAAACTTTTTGTGATATTCATATTACATTGTTTCTTCCATCATTAATTTACAATTACCAGTTAACGTTTATTCAATTTTTTATTTAAGTGAACTCCATAAGTTATTTATTGATAATTATCTTGATAAGTATATATCTAACCAGATTGTTCAAAATGTATCAGCATAAATACATCATCTTCTTCCAAGTCAACTCCGTAGATGCAAACTACTTGGTTGCGGTCCATGTAACTATCGTAACCAATGGTTGGAGACTCTTGGTGACATGGCTCAGAATTGATTACAATGGCGTAGGTGTATACAATTTTTGTCTTCACTTAAACTGTGAGATTAAAATTGCTATATATCTTCCTTTCAACGAAATAATTCTTCTACCTATTATATATCCTTAAACACAATCTTTCTTTTATAGATTACTACCTTTGAAGTGACTACTTTTATGAATTTAGTGTTCATCTTGTTTGTTCTAATGAGTTGTGCCAACTTGGACCGATGCATATATGTTCCAGGTCCTACTTTGTAGCTGACTAGATCAACGTTGTCTTTTGATAGTTTTATCAAAGCTTACGAATGGAATCAACGGACTCAAATATAATCTTACTATTAACTTATGCTTTCTATTCATAGATCTTACTTATTCTTTACAAACTATATTGCTTGAGTTTAATATTTTACTTTATTTTTTTTTTTTATATCTCAAAATGGTTAAAGTTGAACAACCACTGAAAACCCAAAAGGCATGGATCATGTCAAGTTAGAGTTAATTTACACATGTATTACGTTTCATATTGATAATAAATAATAAACTGACATATTGTACCATGTCATTTCTTTCCTATTCTAAAGTTTAGTTTAATCATTATTTCAATCTGTATTGGATTATATTGATTTATTCATCTCTTTTATATCGTTCAATTCAATAAACTAATGTTTATAGATGTTTCAACTAATCTCTAAGTTATAAACATACTTATCAAAACGTCTAAGTAACTGAAATAGAGTTTAAATTGATTCTGTAAATATAAGTTTGTTAAAAAAGAAATCAATAGAGGATTGAAAAGTAGAATAATAGACCATCTATTGAAAACATAAAATTTATTTGAATATTTTCTCATTATTCAGTTTCTATTGTACTGTGTGCTACTTATGTAGATATAAGTAGTATATGATGTTAGTCGTAAACAGAATGTTTGACAGCAGAGTGACAAGAGGATCAAACAATAAAGAATGAAAATAGAATGCAGTTTGTATGAAAATGCAAGAACAAAGGAAGTTTGAGTCATTTGAGACAGTTGATGAACAATTTGCAAATTGAGCAGTTACGATATGGTTGTTAGATTTTATTAACAAGTTCTGTAATTTGTTGCCAAGTACATTCGATTGTTCCCAACCCGTGCTCGTACTCACTACACTATAAATGGTCAGTATTTACCGCTAGACAACTTATATATGTATGTCTATTTACTTTTATGATCAAACGAAAGTTTTATTTTTCAAAACATCAACTATAAATATCTTACCCTTTTCAAATTATTATCCAGTTTAGTTTGAATATTAAACTTTTCTAATCTTACATAATTTTTTGTACATTTTTGATCCATTTCATTTTTATTTTGTCTGTTTATTGTATTTTTCAATCTTTTCTCAGTTATTTTATGATCCAGATCAATATTTTCAATATCTGTTGTATCATCAGATGTTATACCTAATTTTTGTAATGAAGTTAAAGCATGTCGAAGTCCTTCAACTTGATTCATAGCTCTATCTCGTTCAATTCTATGTAACATTTTTTCTTTCATTGCTGTTTCATATTTTTGTCTTAATAATCTTAAAATTGGTTCATATTCAGCATAATGTTCTTTTACTCTAATCAATAATTTAAAAAAACAAACATTAAAGTTAAAACATCAATTACAAACCAAGATTTTTATGAATTGATTGTTACATTTAACTTTTTTTTTAGTTTAAAAGCGATTTATGTAATAAGCTAATATTTGGGAAGGAACTTAAAAAAGATTGGTTAATCCTTGTGAACTTAATTCTCTTGTGGAGTATGTAGGGTAACATTCATCCAACCAAAGAGAGTGTGTACCGCTTTTTAGTTGTGAAGCATGGTCTGAAGAAGTAGATGACACTCATAGGCTGAAGATGCTTGATCACAGCTGTTCTCAAGGCATTTCTTGTGTTTAGTGGAATGGCAAAGTGTGTAGTGTTGATATCAGATGCAAGGTACTAGGTAAAGGCAACAAAAGGTCAGGTTGTGAATGTTTATCTACTGAGGTGGTTCAGATATGTGTTGAATATGTTCAGCCATCACCTACCTATACAGGAGATGTTGCTGGTTTAGACGTAGGTTGAGAGTAAATCAAGGGATGGAAAACTAAGTCATAGTATCAGTCTATGCATTCATTAACTACTGGACAGATATATGCTTATAAATTCAGACTACTGCGGTTATGAGTTAAAAATTTCGAATGATATGACTCAGAATCATTCTCAGTGGTTTAAATGTATTCACTTTTTATCATCGTTGATCCTAAGTCCCAGTATTTTTTCCCAAAAATATATTTTCACTGTCTTTACGAACTATATTTGCAACCCTTCATTTTAATAATTATCATAGCTACTACACTATTTCGATCTCTTTCGGTACTCATCCCATCGTGCCAATTTGACATGGCAACTTGAACCAACGCGTATCTGTGTCAAGCGCTACCTTAATGAAAACCGAGCAAGAGACTAAGCCAACATCTAGGGCGATTAGTTAGCAAAAATTTGCTCTGATTCTAGTCCGAGGCGCTGTTGATGAATTTCTGTACATAAAGTTCAGCACTACAGCAATGTAAATCATTTACCATACAGATGGTTTTAAAATATGCTCTAAGACAAACTTATATTATAAGTGGCATTTATACTATTTGGATAAAAAAATTCAAGTTATTTAGATGTCGTTAAGATTTATGGCTTACCTATAGGATGTTGTGAAATAATCCAGGCCAGGGAATGAAAATGAACGTTTGGTTTCCGAATTAATAGTAGAGGCGCCGTAGAAAGTTTACTATCATTACAATCAAGACCTATTTGAAACTGACCCCCCCCAAATCCCTGATTGTTTTCTTACATCTTACTGTAGCAATGAATTGTATAGCTACATGGTTTATCCCTGTTTACTTAATTCATAAATTTATGACAGACAAAAGTTGAGGCTCATTCTATGAAATCTACATTACACTACTACTGCTTCAACGTATGATGTACAAGAAAAGACAGTACTATAATAGTGCGAACTATGGTCTGTTGCGTATGGAGGTTTTGTCATTAGTTAACCATGAGACATAGTTTTAAATTTATCAGTAAATAAAACCTTGTCAGGACTGAGTTTGATATCTTTTGTGGAGAAAGTTTTGTAGCCATGTAGATTTATCATGTTCAAGGAATTAAACTATTTATGGAAAGTGCTTAAGGTCAGAAAACCATATAAATTCTAATAGTGCTTGAAGAAGACAAGGATTATTACACGAAAAATAATGAAGTATTATACAAAGTGCTTAAAACCTCGCAAATGGTTGAAGAATAAACTGTATACCTTTTAATATCACAGTGTAGCTTCTCCTTATCTTGTAACGTTTGTCTGTGCTTGATCATGTGATAGTCTCGTTCATTCTTAACTTTTTTTAACTCATCATCTAGCTTCCTATATAGGGATAAATAGTTGTTATTTGGAAGCTTAAAATTACAAAATTGAATTTTTCAAAGTCAGATTTTCTGATCTTATATCTTTTATTATATTTCTTAGCTCATCGTTCTGTATATAAATATCAGGAGCTGGGGCAGCTTCTTTATTCAATAAACCTTTATGCAAGAACTTGAACCTAAAAATCGAACTCGAGAAAATATCAAACCATTCTGCCTGGAATACATTGAGAGTCTCAAGAAATCCATTGTTTTGTAAGTAATTGCGGAAAAATTGATCAACAGATGGAGAAACTTGAGAATAAACATCAGAAGAGAGTCCATCAAATCTTTCCTAAACCACGGTTTTTAAAATTTTGAAGCTACCTTCGCTTCTGAGTCTTTTATCGTCTCATTGACTCTCCAGACAAGTGGATCAAGTTCATCATCTTTCAATGTATCTGGTAAATCTTCGATTTTAACCGATACTATAGAAGATTCATTGTCATCTTCAGGAATCTGTTCACCTTTGAGCAATGCATATTTATTAAAAATAATAAAATGTTACTTTCAATGTAATATTTGCTCTTATCGATATCCATAACTGTCACTTATTTAAATTCAAGTCTTATTTACTGCTTTGAAAAAGTATGTGGTGTAGCCATGTCAAAATCAGAGATTACTAGTTTAAAACAAAATTGAAAGTACAACTAAAAAACAATGAGTTGTAAGATACCATAGCAATAAGTCATTTCTTAAGCTGTTTATGGATACTTGCGATTTTTTCATATAGTTTACTCTGTGCTTAATCTGAACTTTTGGAGCATATTCATTTTTTTATTATTATTATTATTATTATTATTATTGACAGTGAAATTACTTTCTTAGTCTGAAAAATGGATAAGATTTACAGGCTTCTTGATTTAGTTTCAGTTCCAGTTTAGAAAGGACAAGAGTCTTGATGGCCTGTGTTGGTCCTGGAAATGGTGTTCTCTCAGTTGATGTAACTTTCTTTTGAAAGAATCGACGGATGGAGCTTCAACCACGTGCTGAGGTAATGAATTCCACTCGTTGATGATTGGATGGGAAAGTCGATTATCAGCTGACAAGTAATTTGTTCTAGGCTTGTGAATTTTTTTGGAGTGCCCTCGTAAATTCTCTGTTTTGGAAGACAAGGAAAATGAGGGCATATTAGGGGCGAATTCATCACTAAGCAATTTGAAAACTGTAATCAAGTCGCCTCTAGTTCTACGATATGACAAAGCGAATAGGTTTAGCTTGGCCAGTCGAGCACCACATGTAAGCTTCGCTATTCCGGGAATCAGCTTAGTTGGTGTTCTCTAGACCTTATCCTAAAGCTCACTGTCTTTTTTAAGCAGGGGCTAGCCGCTTGTATGCAGTAGTCAAGTTTAGGATGTACGAACACTGTATACAAAGTCAAAAACGTTTTAGCGTCGACATGAGTAAAAGCCCTACGTATTGACCACAAAGTTCTAAAACCTTTGGCTGCTATTGCAAGGCAGTGTGCAGTAGTCTTTAGATCTTGGCTAACGATGACTCTTAAGTCATTATGTGTCTGGACAACAGGTGGCTCAGTGTTATTCAGCGTGTATGTATCTGAACCTTGATGACCGATACGCGTCACAACACACTTGTAGTCTTCATCGGCAGCTGCCAGGTATGAGACCATTTAGATAATTTCTTCAGATCATTTTGGAGTTTTAAGCTATCACGCTTACATCGTATCGTTCTTCATATCTTGACATCGTCAGCATATAGCAAGACCGATGATGATATTAGGCGAGGAAGGTCATTTACACACAAGGGGAATAGCACTTGCCCCAAAATTGTACCCTGGGGCACTCCACTAGTCTTTTGGTAAACGACCCTGCGTTACGGATAGCTTGAAGCATATACTTAAAGGGTTCGCAACGAAGTTAGATAATTCCTTAAGTAGCCTAGGATGCAGTTTATCGGGCCCCGTGGATTTACCTATGTCAAGCTTATTTGGCAGACCAAAGACATCGTGTTCTTTATTGGTCACGCTATCCAGTGTATGTGTGGGGGGTTAATATGCGCTGATGAGAAGGGCGCTTCTATGGTATATAAATTCCTAAAGTAGTTTGAGAACACTTGAGCCTTACCAAAGTCATCTTCCACTAATGATGCGGCAGTACTGTCTCCCCATAGTGCAGAAATATTTTCTCTTCTTTTTGTCCTTTGGTTTATATAGGAATACAAGCGTTTAGGACATTCTATGGATCGCTTAATAGTTTTTTGTTCGTACAGCTTTCTAGACTTACGGAGGGTCGAGGCACAGGTATTCCTAGATTTTCGGTACTGAGATTTTGTCCCATCAGACCCCAGTAACTTAAATCTATCCCACACCTTTCTTCTCTTACGGAGAAGGATGCGGACCTCCCCACTGAACCATGGTGGGGAGTTTCTCGGCCCCCTTGGTCTAGTCCAAGGGATGTGGGGTGCGGTAAATTTTAAGCATAAATTTCGGAATGCGTCCCAAGCCATTTCAATTGAGGACCCTGGCTCTATTGTCCAATCTACTAACGATGCTGAGTGCATGATATCTGGTATGTTTGCTTTCCAGACGTTACGTCTGGATTGAGCTGACGCGTGCTCGTGATTGATAGTTATATGGAAGTCAAAATTTAAGACTGCGTGATCACTTTTACCTAGGGATGGCATGTAATGGAGGTTCGCAACGTCATCCCCATAGTGAGATGATACAAGATCTAGTAAGGATGATTCAGTGTCTGGGTCGTACCTAGTCGCTTCTTTCACATGTTGCACTGGGGCACATGTTATAACCGCATCAACTACTTCCTGCTCGAACGAATTATCTGACGATTCAGTTTGCATATTTCCCCAGTCAACCATAGGTGCATTAAATTCTCCTAGAATTAGACATCGACCGCTTTGCGACCGATTTTTGAGCCTGTTTAGCAGAACATCATTTACCTCACAGCTTGGACTGTGATAGATCAAACCAATCAGCAGCTCTTGCTCCTTGAATTTCAAGTGGCATCTAACCAATTCACACATCCCATTTTCATGGGATACACTGTCAATAATGACAAACGGGATAGCATTTCTAATGAATAGAGCTACTCCCCCTCCTTTACGCTTATGTATTCTGTCGGTCCTTACTATAGTAAAACCCTCAAAATCGAGTTCCATACTGTCTATAGACTGTGTCAGCCAGGTTTCTGTGACTGCGATTATGTCTGGCTCTGTAGAGTCAATCTGTCCACCTAGTTCCGATCGCTTATTGAGCAAGGTTTGGGCATTAGTGTAACAGATCCGTAGCCTATTTAAGTGGCTTCGTGCTTCACCGAGAGTGGCTTCGGTATCATTCTCTGACGAAGCCTCACAACCCGAAAATTTGCAATTTTAGGTCCTTTTCGCCAGCGTCTAACCTAATTTGTAGTTCTTTTTCGGCTTCCCGTCTTTTTACACGGTCTGCCAACGGCAATTCCTTTTAGATTAAAAATCCCGAACTCTTTAATTTATGTCCATTCTGTAAAATTATTTCCCTTTCATTCGAAGATTTGAATACTACTTTAAGCAGTCTGGATTGATCAGGCTTCAAGTTCGCTAGACTACCTAGTCTATACACCTTTAGCAAGGTGACTCCGGAGATATTTTGGGGCATGAGTTGATTAAGCTGTTTTATCAGGACAACGTCATGCTTAAAACGAGTTTTTGGTTTAGAGCTTTCGCTCTCCTTGATTCCATGGAAAATAACTGATCTGTCACTGTGATCAGCCTTCGATTTCTCAACTACTTTTATTGGGGCAGGGGTCCCTTTAACATCGTTATTTTGTTTCTTCCTTACAACCTGTACCCATTAGTCAACATTGCTTGGAGAAGCAACCACAGTCGCGTCAAACATACTGTGGGACTCCGGGGGCTTTTCGACGACTTTTGAGGTCAGGATATGTGTCACTTTAGAAACTGATCGAGCCTTGCGGTTGCGGCTTCTATGTGTCTCGTTCCGGATATCATTTAGAAGACGTGGGTTTTTAGTTAGGACAGCTCTCTTTGAAGACTGTTCTTCCTCCTTTGGTCGGTGCGAATCATCTGTTTTCGAAATCACTTGAGATTGCTTCACGTCAATTTGCTTCTCGACGGAGCGAGTACTTGTTAATGTGTCGCAACCACTCTTGCCAAAACACTTTTCGCAGCATTAAACAATGAGACAGCCTCGGTTAACAAGCTGCTAGCATCCGAACGGCACTGTAGGCAGAGCCATATGCAACCATTTTTACTACACCGTTTGAAAGCCATAGGCGTTAAATTTGTGCAAACTTCATGGTACCATCCTTTGTACTCATCGCACTGCATGCCACTTTCAACCGAATAACGACAGCCCGGACGTTGGCAATTGCTTTCTTTGCACTGTCCAGTCAGTTAAGCACGAGTCTTTTTTAAAAAGGACTAGATGCAAAAATACTCAGAGACAAAAATGATCTATGACCAAAAGCAGTGGAAAACTGAAGATCATTAGAACCAAAAGTACTAACAGATATAATAGAAAAACAGAGTACTCAAAAGTACCGACGACAAACTACTTTAGAAACAAAAACGACACTCTAATCGAATACTTTAACTGAAAGAAATTCAATTGAAGTGAAAACAGTAGTTTTGATATGTAATAAACGATAAAAATAATAGAATTTACTCAGCGAGGAAAAACACTACTGTTCTTTATGAATAGCGCACCTGATGTTTTTTCTCTGATTTTATCGTGTGATGTTGTTAACGAAATATAGATCCAGCCTACCTTCATATATAATTATCGACCTTGTGTGAGTTAGTTAATAACGAAATGAAATAAGCCAAATAAGGAAATATATTTTCGATTAATATCTGGATTTTGAGCCCTCTCAGTATATCACTAACACCCGATTGAAGATGATTCTTTGCTTTTTGATATCGATGAAGTGATAAATAACTTACTACAATAAATAACCTCGCAAACACCTAAAACTAGTAACATCAGAGTCAGTTTTGATGGAGACTACTGGCTAACGTCTTCTAATTTCGCATCATTGTCAGATCACTGAGTGACTTCACGCCGAATTATTATCAAAATGGCACGAAATGTTCGATAATGAAACGGACAAAAAAACCCATTCACAAGACTCCAAACTGCTACTGAGAGAGAAGTGTGAGGATGAAGAAGGAGGCTTATTTGACTAACCCGACTCGCTTGCATAAGTACTCATTTATTTAAATATATATATTTCCTTGATAATTAAACCCTTTACTTGTCAAACATGTGCACTCGTTATTAGGAGATTATTGATCGTAACATGTGTCATTCTCATTTGGCGAATTTTGACTCATCTATTGTATTAATTCCCCTGTTCTCCATAGAAAGCTTGGAAGTCTCACTCTCCTCTATTTATAACCAAGACTGAGTTTACTTTTCTACACAACATGTAGCACCCTTTTATTTCAGTGGGAATATATTTATGAGAAACTCCGTAAAAGTTACTTCTAAAGTCGTCCCATTCAGTCTGGTCCTTGAATAGTACCTGCTAGGAATTATTTACGAAAATTATTACACATATTCTTATCA